CAGATATATACCTTCCATGTTCAACTTCTCGTAGGATTATCTTAGGCTCGTCTTCTGAAAAGTATTGTAATTCACCGAGCCTCGTAGATTATTTCACAGAAGGATCCTGATTCTATTGCATGGCTAATTCTGTTTTTTATTATGTGACAATGACAAAGCGTGCTTATTTAGCCGTCATAAAATGTTTAATATCAATACGTCTTCTAATGAAAGGAACTTAGAGGCATGATGATTACAAAGACACATGTTTGGCTGTGTGTATGCGGTTCGGACGGCGACAGGAGCGCAGTCTATCGACGGGCGACATCCCGCACAAATACTTTGGCTTCCTGCTGGCCTTTACCAACCTGGCGTGGATACCTTTTGCCTCTAGCCTGCCGGCCTACTACCTGGTACACCACCACCAGGAGCTCACCGCCTACTGGGCCGCAGCGATTTGCCTGCTGTACCGTACGTGCTGCCATCCTGTCCCACACAAGCACACGTATAACACATGTACCACTTGCAGTACGCACATGTGTACCATGCAAGACACACAAACAACGCGTAACATACACACATACCGCACACAACACACACAGCACATGCGCATGTGTGGTACAATTGTGCGTGCTTGTATGGTATATATGTGTGTTGTGTCACACACCACACACACAGCAGGGAAACTGGTTGCCCTGTAGTCCATCATTCAGCAAAAATCACAGCATAAACTACTGTGACATCAGATTTAAGTCATTCTTGGGGAGGGGGGCAGATTGGAGAAATACCGAAGGAAATACCCCCCATCTCTATGCTGTATGTATGTTGAACTTCTTTCGCACCGTATGTAGCCAACCGTGCTAATCGGAGGTGCTCTTCAGGTTGTATTAATTGTCAATATTTGTGTTATTGTAGAGAGCTCACAGACACGTTGGTTATCATTGATGTAGTCTTACTTTGTAAAATATGGCATGTGGTAACCAATTCTAGATTTAAAGCTTTCGTGACTGCTAGGATCCATACTCTTTGGTTCTATTGGGTAAAGTCACGTAGGTACTTTACCCAATAGAACCAAAGAGTATGTGGTAACCATATGCTTAAATATTATAATTTAACCAAAAGAGCACCTTTTGAAATTAATTGTTTTCATATTTTCTTCAGATAAATAAATCCTTTAGAAATGAAGTGTAAAAATAGGCTTCAGATATTCTTTTTAATATACTTAACTGTGCATTGAAATAATTTAAAAAATGTACATTTGTTTTATCTTTTTTTTAATTGAAATACTTTGAATCTAAAGAGGCACTATATTTACAAACTCCTGATTGTTTGACTTCCTTGTTTGCCTGCATAGTTGTGGGCTATGTCATCTCCCGGAGGGCGCACACGCAGAAGAATGCTCAGAGCGACAGTGCCGGAGATCGTAAGTAACCATCCCTGTTGGTCCTCATCATGAAGGTTTCGCTAGGCATTGTTAATGTTTTTTGCAACTGATTTTCTGACTGGTCAAGGTTGTGAAATCAGCTTTGTGGGGAGCGATAGTGTAGCGGTTAGTGTGAAGTGTTCTACGCCTTTCTCCACAGCTTGAAATCGGTTCCCATTGGCAACACCGAGTCGTGCGAGTGGCGGTTGTGTGTCAGAGGCGCTGCCCCCTGTTTGCGAGACCGACACTGCTTGTTCTGCTTGTGCCGCAGGTGGGAAACCTGCTGACAGCCGGAGTTCACCGGTGCTGGGCTCGTGGGGCCGCCTGCGCCACCCGGAGCTTCTAGGCGAGCTCTTGATGTTGCTTGCATGGAGCCTGCCTTGCGGTAATGATCCTGCCACAGGGTCCCTTTACACGGGGATTATGACCGACCTTGTACGTTTGTACATACGTGAACGTCAATGCAGTGTTTAATTTTCTAGAGGCAATTACTAAATTCGGTATTTGAAATAAGTTTTGCTGGCTGGGAGGGATGTATGGATGGGATCAGTTTTCAGTTTATTTGTTTCAGTTTATTTATTTGGTATAACCCTGTGAGCCATTCGGCTCTTGAATCGGGTGCAACCACAACAAACAAAAAAACGAACAAGAAAACATCTTATAGTGACTATGGGATGGTCGTGTCCAAATGCGTGCGGGTTTATAGTCTTTTATTTTTGAAAATATATTCCCCTCTTTCAGTATAATACACTTGCCACTGCTTTGTACGATGTATTAAGATGAAGTTGCATTTCGATGTTGTATACATTTTAATTGTATTGTAAAGCAAATATCCATGCAAGGGCTAAAATTAGTACTTCAGCCTTTGGTGGAAACTGTACACTCCTAAGGTGGCGGAAGGTCTTTATTCATGCTTTGATAGATAATTGGATTGGTGGTAACTAGTGCCAAATTTATATGTACACCCACATTACAATCGATGTAACAGTTGGCGCCTCGTAACTGGAGTCGATCCAATGAGACATTATCGACGCACGCTTCAGAATTACGGTGCCTAGGGAGAGATTTTTGTGAAGGTATCTTGTAAATTTCCCTGTTATTGCCCTAGAGGCTGAGTGATGCCTTACCAAGTGCACGCGGTGTACTCGACTCCAATGCAGCATATAGAGTAATGATTATTTACAGCCCTTTGTCAATCCACTGGTGGATGAAGGCCTCTGTGTGCCCTGCTGTTCATGAGGGCTGGTCAGTGGGTTGGTGAATGGAGGGGGGGGGGTGCAAGAACAGTTCAGGTATCACTCACCACTGATGTTAGCCGTGGGCAGAAATCTAAATCAGGTTGCCAGGTTCATCGTGCAGTGCGCTAACCACTGTGCTGCCCTTACACCTCGACATGGATATACTCAGCCAAAAGTGAGTGCCATTTGCAGTGTGGTATGTTCAATAACAGCACAGGGATGACAGAGGCAGCCAGACGTAACTAATCACAATTGGGAAAGGGTTTACACCATTGGAACCTCCTTTGCCAGTAGCAAAATGTGATAATTGTTTTTTTACCCTTTTATTTGGCAACAAAACGGACACCTTTTTTTACAAGGAGTAGTGCGTCTTTTGGCATCATTTGGTCCAACACCACGTGAGACTAGGCTCTAAGGAAAGCTGTCTCGGGTGTGGACCAATCAATTTCAAGGACAGTGCATACATTATCAGAGTTATGTTTTTTGTTTGCATTCTGACCGCAGGTATTGTGGTCAATGCAAACATGACTCCTTGTAAAAAAAAGGTGTCAGTTTTGTTGCCAGATAAAAGGGTAAAAAAACAATTATCATATGGGAAAGGGTTGCTTGTGTAATGCTGGCCACTCTGGTTGCTTGTTTGCCATGCTGCTATTAATAAGCGATTCATTGGAAACCGGTACAAGGCCTGTTTTAACACCAGACAATGTAGAATTTTCTGCACATTGGGCCTTCCGGATCAACATTTTCCAGCAGCATTTGTGTCAGCAGGAAAACTATATATAATTTTTACTCATCAGCAGTTTGTGGCCTTTTAAACAAGTGTTTCCAGGTTTGCCGGTGTTAAAGGTAAGGACCAACATCATGTGGGGGGCTAAGTCGTACACAAAAACTCTGCAATCTGTATTGTCCTTGATGGGCACTTGCTAATAGCATTTGTCTCGGTCTGTTCAGCTTAACGGAGGGATCCCTGTGTATGTGTATGTCCAAGCAGGCTTCAGCCACCCACTGCCATACATCCCCGTCGTGTACTCCCTGGTGATGCTGCTGCATCGCGAGGCGCGGGGATGATCGCCAGGGCCGTCCCCAGCTCTCCGTCCTGTGTATACTAATCCACTCCCCTTTGTCTGTTGCGAGATAGTTCCTCACAAACATACACCCGAGTGTAAGTGGGAATGTGCAGACATTTGTAGTGTCTGCACGAGAGCTTCTGAGGTTTTAAATTATCTTTCCGCTATTTAATGAGTGGCTGAGACAAATATTCAGTGTATTTCAAAGTGTTGCCATTAAGGGTTGACACGTCCGCAAAAACAAAGAGCTCTTGTAGATCCATAGCTGGGTTGCACGTTACAAGTTGTCCAACACAAGTTTTAAGCTTTCTTTCTGAGAAAAATATTTTAAAGTGGAATTGGGCGACACTGATGTAGTGGTCCAGTGAAATTGCAGCAGGGTGACTGGTGCTTTTTAACAAGTCACTGGAGTCTTAAGACAATGCGCCTGAAAGTCACTTGCAATTTTTATAACAAAGTTTTATACTCACGTTGGACAGCCTGGGTAGGTTTTTTTGGATTGCTTTTTTTATATTTTTTTAAGTACGCGAGTATTGTCACTGATCTAGACTCGTTTCTGGCTTAGCAACACTCAAAACCTCTCGGATTTTTATTGCCTCTACTTTTTTATAAACACAAAACATCAATTTCCATCACCAAATTCATAACATGCCTTTCTGGAGGGTGCATCCGTGTGCTACGAAGTGACAAATTATTAATTTCTCGCCAGTTTAGACCCCGTAGCCTGTGTTAATGTAGATTTAAATAACGTTCATCCACTTTGTTTTACCTTTACCAGCTGCGAGTGCTGCAATTGCCATCAAACATTCATTTTCCCCGCTGCCTATGCCATAATAACCTTAGCTCGTGCAGACAAGTGCAGTCATTACTCATAATGCTTTTAAATGAAGAATGTGTGTTTTTGTTGCATTTCAGTGGAATTTTTATACAACTTGTTTACTTTTACGCAAGTGTTGTACGTGGTATTTTTACGTGTTCTCTGCTGTACATTGAGCCCTTTGCTCTTTTATGGAGAAAAAATACAAATGGATTAATGAACAAACATAAGCTTTCTTACATTGTGATTTTAAAGCTTGGCCTGGGTTTAAGAAGCCTTGCGTCTGAGCATTCACAGGCTGAGATCAGCCGTTCGTAAAGGGGGCTCTTCGCGAGTTGATCTTCTTTCCATCCCAAAGTTGATCTTCTTGCCATCGCAACAAGGGTGATCCAAACTGGGCATGTAATTGAATAACTGAACGATGCGTTGATGAAAGTCAATTCTTGTCAAGATTGATGCATTCACGCATTGAATCGTTTTCCTTAATCAAATGTTGCTTCTGCATTTAATGGAAAGTTGCGTCCAATCTTAATTTTGTGTTAATGCCAGAGCAGACAGGTGAGGGAGATGGACGAGGCCAGACAAAAAGTGCAAACAAAAGGCAAAAAATAGGGCGGTCAAGGGAGAGTCCAGTGTAGAAGACAAATACAGTGCAAGCAGATACAATTTAGACAAACGGCTAGCAGATGTGTCAAGGCTGTACTCAGCTGAGTGTAGATGAGATGGCGGGGAAGGATACTGGGGTATACTGTCGGTAGATGTGCAGCATACTTTCAAAGTCACCACTGTTACTTGCACCCAATTTCAAGGGTGATTAGTAGTCTATAGTGTCCATTGCTGTCAGTTTAATAAATATGTTTAACAAATGTTCATAAAGAAATTCACGCTCATATGGGGAGAAAGAAACATTTGATTCAAGCCTTGAGTTGCTACCCCTTATGCTACCCCTTATTCACATTTCTACAGGGTTGAATCATTCCAGTCTGTAATTGGTCCTCAGTATTTATATTTTTGCTGAGAACAACAAAGCCTTAAACGAAAGGGACTATAGAGTAATACTCTGCCTTTTGTAATATAAAAACAATTAACCTTTTTGCGGCATGTGACAATCGTTTTTCAATTCACATGACCATTGTTGACGAGCAGCCCCCTTGAAAATGTTACCTGTATGAAAAGCTTTATAAGGCAAAGGTGAAGCACGTTACGTGTCTATTCAGCGAGCCGTTTTTAATAAACCATGTTTTGACAAAAAAAAAACCACAAGGACATGTTCTTTGATTTATGCTCGGCGGGGTACACTGATGCTTTTTCAGAGGAGATGCACGGTCACCAATGCACACTTCATGGACCCCGGTGACTGGGGAGCCCGCACACGCGATGTCGGCTCCGACCCGGGAGATTGTTTGTGGAAGCCAGTGCATGGGGAAGCGTCTCATGGGCCCCGGTATGCGTGGTTCATGGGGCCGATTTAAACGGGATGTGTGATGCCGCACATTGGTTGTCTCTTGCTGTGGTGTATGTAAGATTATCTGCTCCGTTGTGGTGACCTGGGTGAGATTTTCTCCCAAAGAAAACCCGTACACATACAGACGCATTGACGTTTCTTCCAAACAGCCAAGTCCTCATGGCCAAGTGGTTTTCTGTTGATCAGTCACAGTACTTATTTTCAAGCCTGCAAATGTCAAACGCCTCATCCGATTTTCAAACCCCACAAACCAGCAGACGCATTATCAAGATCATCAGACTTGTAAAGCTGGGCCAGATGTGGGGGTCTGGACTGAAGTTTGAGCAGCAGAGAGAGGAAGTTTGTGGTAAAATTGCCGGTCATCACGATTCCGTCCTCGCACGCCGGAGAGCTGCATCTATGATCGCGGCAGTGCTGTTTCCATGGTCCCCAATTGTGGTCGAGACCTTGGCCAGGAACTGGGAGCCGATCGCCTTCCCTCCCATCGGACCACACACGGCCTGGGCCCAGTCCAGTGCTGGGAATGCATCGACCATCTCCTGCAACCGCAGGCACAATGACAGTGCCATCACGCCGTAGTCTTAACCAGCACGAAGCTCGGCAATAACTTCTGGCAAGGAGGTGTGACGCTGCATTGATGCACCTATGCATATTAATGTCACGACGTGAATTTTATTATTTGCCTAATGTAGATGTTTGTAAGTAATGGGTTCACATGAACCCTGTGGGCACTCGTGACCACTGCATTCACCACACTGTTAAATAAGCTATTTAATTGAATAATACTGAATCATCAATTCATAAATCATAAGGGGGGGGGGGAAGGGGGTGAATAATATTTTTAGTATAACGGTGTCATGCAAGTAATCCATAGCCAAAAGAGTAAAATGGATTTAACTCTCGTGTCCCAATGTGCGTCTATCGCATGACTGCCGTGTTTTCTGCTGCCGAAGGCTGGCCGGACAACTGTGCAGCAAGGGGTACCTCATGGCTCCAGATTTAGGCAAAAATGCCTTCTCAGGATATCTATTCTTGACTGCCATGTACAGGCAGTTTACGTGGACATGGAATGCGACCGCATGTCAATGCCAGACCAAGGCTAAGATCAGTGGCGAGTAATATTGGAGCCTGTCCTGGGCACCCCCGCGTGGAGAGGCTTTCATCCAGCAGTGGATTGAGAAAGTAATGTAAATCATTGTTCGTTATTATGGAATGTGATGACCCGATCCCAGGCGCTGAGCACTGGCACACTTTTGCTGCCCCAATGTTTGCCTAGTCATTAAAAGCATGTGTATCATTTCTCGGGCTGAGACTGAGACTCTAAAAGTATCCCAGTTGCCGCTTCACTAATCCAGAACCCCCCCGGTGGTCGCGCGTCGTTCGCTTGCGACGCTCACCTTTGGCACCTGACAGGCGCACAGGAGCTGCCCACCGGGCTGAATGCTCATCAGCAGGACGCGGGCGTCGGGCACCGCCCTGCTCAGTTCGTTCACCGTCCTCACTAGCACCTGCATGCAACCACGCGTGAGAGTGCGTTTGTAGAGTTGAATTGCCAACTTAATTTCAGAGTCCATTGTCTCTGTGCATGGTGGTGATTGTAGATATTCTTGGGTCTTTCGGTAAAGTCACGTAGATAGGTTCAACAAAAATAAAAAACTACGACGTTTCGATCGCAACACAAGCCGTCTCCTTTAGTGGCATCAGGGGGTTGCGTGAACCGATTCCAACGTACTGTATATGAATCTAAAATATTGATTCTCGCACGCACAATCGGCATTGTGAGCCGAGTAGTTGACGAATCAACGCGTCGTTGCGTGCCTATTAACCACTGCATATGCAGTTGTGTGAAATGCAAGCTGAAAATACTCCCTTCATTACCCAACGCTCCTTTATAACGATAGTCACGTGTTGGATTGCGATATTAATCGATGCATGGTAATCTGCTTATCGTGCAGTGCACCAAGGGCATTGTCAGCCAGTGCGGAGCCACTGCCCGTCGTGGCGGGGGCTCTGTGCACAATCCGCGACACCGAGCTGGCATTGCGCGAGCACCGATGCCACCACGCGGTCACTCATTCTGTAATTACCGACAGGTTTTCCGCCTCCATCACGTCCACAATGAGCGTCTCGTTCGCGTGTTTCTCCGCCAGGGTCTCGGCGGCTTTCTCGGCCTGAGCTCACAGCATGGCACAGGGCGGAATTTTATCAAAGAGGCATTTGTATAGTCGACAACATTCTCATATCTACGGTACCCTTAGCCTTCAATCGTCGATTTCTTTCCTCCCTGCATTGGCTCCCTGTAGAGTACAGAATCCACTTGAAGATTCTTCTTCTCACGTTTAATGCCTTGAATAAGTTGGCTCCTAAATGACTTACCGATCTACTTAAGTTTTATATTCCACTGCAAAAAACTTAGATTTGCTGTTTCTGATCTACTCATTCAATATTCAAAAGACCAGACTTGGTTCTGTTCCTTTCTTCTTCAGTCCATTCGGGAATCTGAGTCTGTTGCACTTTTAAATCGTGTCTTAAAACTCACCTCTTTTTACAACATGCTTTCTCCATAACTTAAGCTTCATGTAAAGCGCTTCGAGGCCTTGTGTGAATTGTGCTTTAGACAATCGAGTTTATTATTATTATTACCAGAGAGGTCCTGAGCTTGCGGACCGCTGTGTTGGCCTTGCGTTGCATGGTCTTGAGCATTTGCTGCAGCTCCTTCCGCTGCCACTGAGGCATCACCGCTCTGTCCACAACCTGTGGAGGTCGGCAAAAGGAAGACATGAACTCAACGTGTCATCAGTGCTTGCCGCCCGGTGTGTGTCACTGTTGACATCTTAGTGTAGATAAAGCAGCGACAGATTTTTCAATGAGCCGGCGTGTTACTCAAGCGGGCAAACTGGGTAATGAACAAGTACAATTTTGTCGACTGAGTCGCACATAAATATTTAATGCTACGCTTTGTAAACAAACTTATGTCAGCAATAAGGAAGCTGAATGTTAAATGGAAAAAAGTGTTGCACATACAGAGCTACGTACGCTTCCCAAACTCCACTGTTCAAGTCCCATGATGATGCACGTTACCATTCCCCCCCCCCCCCGCCCAAATCATCAGAAGCTTTCAATTTTTGTTAGAAAAACAGTCACCAACTTTGTTGTCGTAAAACTACTCTCGTAATTAAGCTGCATTGGAGGCGAGGTGACGGCTGAGCGAGACCCACGTCGGTGAGTTGGCCCACTTCCTTGGAGAGGCCCAGCAGATGAGGGAGCGAGGCCGCACCGTGGGCCACACGCGCGCCCAGCGAGTTTGTCTGCTGCGCCAGCGCCTCACCCGTCCGGCGAGCCTTCGCGCACACGTACAATGGACAAGGACCCCCGTGCAGCCTTGACAGGCTGTTGGAGCAAGTGCTATTATGAAGGCCGGCACGGCACAGGAAGGGGGGTGGGTGGCCAGCACCAAGCCCGTCTGCCTTTGTCTGCACAGTGGCAATGTTTACACACTGCACCAGGTATTCATTTGAGGCTAAGTCGACCTAGGGTAGGCCCAGGACTGGTTTAGATAATTGTCACTGGTGTTGGCCATGAGCAGAAATCAAACCCAGGTAACTAGGTTCGGAGCACAGCGTGCTAACTGTTACACGACCACGTACACACACGTGTACACACACGTGTACACACACGAGTTGGTCTTAGCCGAGTCAACAATGACTGCACACACAAAACTCAACCATATTACATGTGATTTTCCCCTAAATTCTGAAAATTGCAGCTTAAAACAAAACAAATGTTGGTCTGATTGGCATGTTGGGCAAAATAAAATGTGTGCTCCTAGTGTGGATAAGGGGTCCGTTGCAGATAAATGACATCTTCTTTTGACACAAGGTGGTTCACTTGTACGCTTATATGATCACGAATAGCATAATTGTATTGTAATGAAAAAAATATTCAGAACAAGTAATTAACATCTACCAGTCCTGCACTATGAAGGTGTTGACTGTGAATGTTTTCAATCACCAAACGTCCGAGGATTGGAAACCTTCACAATACAGCGTTGTTCCATGGTGTGGGGACTTTTGTTGTCCTTCCCCCCGCACCTCCGATTAGCACGGTTGGCTACGTACGATGTGAAAAAAGTTCAACATACATACTTGTTTGCCCGATTACGAGCAGCCATCGCGGGTACGGGGTAATCTCTGTCCCGTGTGTGCCCTGAAGGCCTCACCACCCCCGTGGCGCGCGTGGAGAGTGGACGAGCGATCTCACCTCGCGAGCCTCCCGGTCCGTGACGGCTACGACGCGGCTCAGCCCCTTGACCATTGCTCGCTCAGACACAATCACGAAATCCTCGATGAGACCCGTCCGCTGTAGGTGACTGAGTTGGAGGGTCAGGCGGGGTGGGGGGGAACAGGTGGGGGGGGGGGGAGAGCCACAAACGACAGATGCAAGGTCACGTTTGTGACTCGCATGACACGACAGTCCTGACCATTTTAGCAACTTGTACCGGTGGGTGGCCAATAGAGATGTACCAATACATGGATTGATAGTTTCATAGGCTCGTGATACTTGCATAAATCACATTTGTAAGAATCGATATTTTCAATCGGAGTGATTTGTAATGGAACCATGCGACCCCTCTGACAGCTAAGATCCACTACACTCACCGGAAGAATAAAACCCGATTTTTGAATCGGCTCATGATGCCAAATTACGACTGAATCAAAGCAAGGGCGTGAATCGTTTGACCTCGAGTGTCCAAATAAAGCATTTGGTTATGAAGCTTGGAACCCGGGAATCACTCCAGCAAAGTCTCATCAGCAGCACAAGCCACGCAAGCGGTGAGAAGTTCGGCGTGGCGGCAGTGGCGGTGTACGTACGTGCCACAGCAGAGTTCCACTGAGCCAGCGCGTTCCGTGTGCTGCTGCTGCTGCTGTAGAAGCAGCTGCTCGGCGGGAGTCCCCACTGACACCACGCGCACGTCCTCCGGGTAGTCCTGCGCACCAACAGCGCACAACTCCGTTCCTCTCCTCTGCCCTCCCCCCTTTCGTCCGTCTCTTCCACATCTCGAAGCCTCTCTTCAATTCGCTCATTCCGTACGACAGGGTGATTTTACCACGACAGGTAAATGGCACGAGGTGGTTGGATGACGAGAGCGATGAGGTGGCCACTGGATGAGCACTGAAGCCCGAGTGAGGCCGGACAGGGCTGTACACCCAGATAATTGGGGGCGTGTGACCACTCACGAACGCGAGCTTCCCATTGTTCAAAACATGAATAAGCGCCCCCCCCCCCCCCCCACTGATTGAAATACTGACGGTGAGGCTACACCCAGTGAGGCGTATGAGAGACATTCAAGATTTGAGGCAGGCAGCCACACGACATGGCTACCGCCTGCTACTGCCGGCAATGCTGAGGGCCACGCATTGGTCTTTGTAAGACGCGAGTAGCCCTATGAACATGGCTCGTCGTGTTCAATTATGATTAACGTGTACAGATTATTTGTTTAAAGAGACGTAGTCTAAAGAGACATGAAAGTTGGGAAATAATGTACACTGGCGTCATGTAAGCATTGAATATCCTGTATTTGGACGAGTAAGTCGAGTGCACTGAATCAAGTTATCGTCCGATATTCGGCAACTAGTGCTGTGCCCTGCCGCTGTGTTGTGCCCAGATGCGTGTGTGAGCGCGTGGAGGCGAGGGGACTGGCTGCAGTGATCCTCTTTTGGTGGAGAGCCAAGTGCATACACCAGACAATGGAAAAACATAGGAGAACTGGATGTTGCTTCAGCTTTGACTGGAGCTGAGATGATGATCGCTTTGTCTCGAGAGAAGACGGAAGTGAGCAAGGGTGACACTCCTCATACACTCCACCCATATATTACAGCCAGCCAACTGGCACATGAGCAAGGGGTTAAAAAAAACACCCCCGAAGCGCCAATTACGAATCTGAATTTCCGCTGCGGCTCTATTTCTAAGTTTACAATTCGGCAATGACACCGACAATGACCAATCGAAGGGCGACTAGGCCGAGGTACCCGACCTGCCCACGGACAGAATACCGGACGGACGTACATCCAACTCCGCTCGTCCACCACAAGAGGCCAAAGGGCAGCTTCCTAAAACGATGAGGCTGGAATTCACGTGTCCACCCGTGCGGTTGCGCGTGCCTCGTCCACGCAGCGCAGGTGGGGAATGCGGCGGGCCGAGGCGAGCGGGGCCTCCGTCACGAACACCCTCTCGTCGGCCGACACGAGGCGGCACACGGCCGCCTCCACGGAGCGGAGCTGATCCACCGACACGGGCGCCTGAGAACGCGCACGCGGCGGGGGGGGGGGGCACGGCCAGACACGCGGCACCAAACCAGTTGCAGAGCGCACGGAAGAATGGCAACGCGCGGGCGCTCGCTCAGTTGAGCTGCTGGTGACTGGGCGGAATGTGCGGCGGCGAGCAGATGATGAAACCAATGGAAAAGGTCGCGTCTGGTTAATGTGCTCGTGTTTGTGCGTGTGTGGGTGTGCGTGTGGGGGAGTGGTAAGTGCTCACTAGCAGCACTTGCCCAACAGTTTGTTAAGGATACATGGGGGGGGTCTTTGTCTTTGGGGAGCGGTAGTGTCTCGGTTAGCGTACTGCACCATCAACTCGGCGACCCGAGTTCAATCTCGCTCATGGCCAACATCGGTGACGATGAACTGAACCTATCTTGGGCCTCCCCTAGGTCGACTCAGCCTTAAAGGATTAAAGGAGTACCTGGTGCGGTGTGTAAACCTAGACCACTAGGGAGTCAAAGGCACCCGGGCATGGTGCTGGCCACCCACCCTTTCGTGTTCCATGGCAGCTTTGATAGGTGTTCGCTAACAGCACTTGCCCTAACAGTCTGCTACAGCTATATGGGAGATCTTTGTGTGTGTATCACAATGGAAGTGGGATTCGGCAAATGTAACACGTGACCCTCGACTCCTCTTCGCATGCTCTCTACTCTAGGAGCCCAAGGTTTACTGTAACAAGTCTGTCGACCTCCACTCAATGGGAGGTCTCTGCTTGCTCCTGTTCTATTGCTGCCCCTTCTGAGAGAACGCCCTCCCCCAGGGGCCACCGAAGCTGTCAGCTCTCTGTTAAAGTCCAGGCTTAAGACCTTCATCTTCTCTTCTGCCCATGACTGTCTCCTATCAAGGTAGCATCTTAAATATTAAACAAACATATCTCCATGGCTTTTGGTGGTTTCCTCACGATGTGCACGTCCCGCTTGTTGTACAGCACCTTAAAGTGCACCTGCAGCTAACTGTAGAGGGAAAAACCAGAGGACCCAGAGAAAAATTCCTCGCGACCACGGGGAGAAAGAGAGAGAGAGCATGCAGACTCCAAATATACAGCAGGCGGAGGGTCGGTATCGAACCAAGCGACCCCCTGTAAACCAGGCGAGGTAGTTAACATCTTGCCACTGCGGCGCCGCAACGCCAGCCCGATCGCCAGCGACCGTGTCTCACCCTGGTGGAGAAGTCGAAGCGGAGGCGGCCGGCCGCCACGTGGGAGCCCCTCTGCCGCGTCGCGTCGCCCAGGACGTCGCGCAGGGCCTGGCTGAGGAGGTGCGTGGCCGTGTGCTTGATCATGCAGCCCAGGCGGCGCTCCTGAGGACACAGCGATGCAGATGTCGGCACCGGCGCCCGACGGGACACCGGCGCAGCCACCAACCGCTCGATCCGGAACGATTCACGGCGTGGCGATTCGATGAAGTGTCACGATTTGCGTTTGCAATTGATTACACGAGTCAATTTTATTGCCACGGTTTTATCCTCTCAACGAGTTTATTTTTCTACTTTTTCATCTCATTTGGAGATTTCTTGGTTCCGCGAGTCTGAATGTAACATTGCCATATAATTTGCGTAAATTGTAAATGATTTTCACGTGCACGTAGGGGGGGGGGGGCAGAAGAACCGTAAACCACGAGTCGAGCCTGAGGCCCCAGAAGCAGTTCACGTGCGGGAAATAACTCGGTGAGTAACGATTAAACTAATCTATAAAACCATATTTGTATTTTACCAGGTAAGGCCCACTGAGCTGTATAGCTCTTTTTCAGAAACGACCTGGCCACAAATGACAGCTCAATGAATTGGCTTATAATATAGAAATGTATAGCAGCCAAAAAATATAGCAGCCAAATAACATAGCAGCCAAATAAATGCAAGTTTATAAATGTGGAGGGAAAACCGGAGGGCCCGGAGAAAAATCCAAGCGACCACAAGAGAACATGCAAACTCCAAATATACAGGCGTCGGGGTCGGGATCGAAACCCACGATCTCCTGCATACCAGGTGAGGTAGTTACTATCTTGCCACCGTGGTGCCCCTCAATTCGTCTCGAGTCGTCGAGCAAGTTCACGATACATGTACAGTACTTTGGGATCATTCAAAGTTCTGACCAGATGAGTTCATATCCCATTTACCATACTGCCATCTCCTGGCCATCACGCAGCCCAGCAGATTAGGAACTTCCACATCGGACACGATCCGTTTGCCTGTAAAACGCTGGGTCGCAGGAGTGTGTCACCACACCAGATTTAGTTTTATTCCTATTCCATAACCATAACAAAAACGACTGCGTGTACAAATGCTGGCCACGGCATACGCTGTAGTGAACAACCGCGATTCGACCGGGGTTTTGCGTCGTGTTTAAATGCGGCAGCATCTCAGACCTCGTTGATGGCGAGGAGCAGCCGGTCCCCGACGCGGACGGTGTCGCGTGTGACGACGTGGTGCAGCACGAACCCCCCGCACACCTGCACGTCCTCTACCATGGCCACGATGTCCTGCGACAACACGAGCGAGGCGCAACCCAGTAAAACACGGAATGACGTCGCGCCAGCGTTGGGCCCAAGTCGGGCCGACACAGGGCTGGCGTCGGTTCGACGGTTGCTGCCGCATGCTGACGCCGGCCCCTCTCGTCTTCTTGGCCGAATTCCCCACCCAAGGCCCGCACCTGCTGCCCGGCGGCGTCGACCGCGAGCACGACGCCGGTGTCGCCGTCCTGGCCACCCTGCTCGCTGTAGAAGCAGGTCGCGTCGAGCACGAGGCTGCAGCGTTCTCCGGCCCCCACGACGTCGCTCAGACCCGGCCGGCGCCACACGGCCACGACCCGCGCCAAGCACCGGGCAAACTCTGCACCGCGACAGACGCCGAAGCCACAGCCGCGACCACGGACGTCACTTTGAGACTCGTGCACATTTGTCCGCGCTGCTGTGTCTGGCGTGGCTATACCATAGGCTTTCTAACCACTAAGCCAGGGTTCTTCAATTGGCGGCCTTCAGCCCAGATGTGACCTACGGGCCTTGGAGTGGCGCGCAAACAGATGCGGTTCGCCGAGATGTAGCCATACAGATGAGATAAAGGGTACCGCTTTACAGTCACATTTGCGGACGCCGTGATGCCATGCCACCCGTGCGTACCACGTGTACCTCGGGGGCCATCGTACCATATCGGCCGTTGGGGCGCAGCTCGTACGCGTACTTGGCGGCATCGTCGGTGGCGGGAACACCTCTGCTGCGTAGCTCGTCCAGTGCGTGCACGTCCAGCAGGAGAGACTCTCGCCCGGGGGCCTCTCCCTTCTCACCCTCCTGCTGCTGCGCTCTCCTCAGCTGCATGCACCACACGAGCGCGTCGAGACGGCGTGTGTCGGCGTGCACTGCCGAGTGTGTACACGTGTGTACACATGTGTACACGCGTCAGTGTGTGTGTGTTTTCGCCCGTGTGTGTGTGTGTGTGGATGTGAAAGCAGTAGGTGCACGTGTCTGCGTGGGTGTAGATTAACCACAGCAAAGTGGTAGTGAGGAATGCGGGTGGTGCATCTGCCAGTCACCATGATCGGTCAACCGAAAACACGAGGGTCTATTCCGTGAACTGCCAATGAGCCTTCAACACTTCACGTGGCCTCAAAGTGCACCTAGCCTGGCGCAAGCACTGTGGTGACATCACCACCACTTAGTGGCGAATGTTGATTTTTTTGCTGTTGTGGAGTACGCATGTATGTGGAACTTCTTTCGCGCCGTATGTATCCAACTGTGTTAATCGGAGACGCTCGCAAACAGCATTGGGTCCAACAATCGATGTTGAGGATCTGTTTCTTGGTGTGGTGTCTTGGTGTGCCTTGGCGTGTGCTGCCGCACCCACCTCCGCCCGCTCCAGCTCGTTGAAGGCGACCGTGTCGAGCGAGAGGCCCCGCTCGTCCAGCATGAGGTGGATGAGGTCGAAGGGGAAGCCGAGGCCGCGGTGCAGCGACCATGCCACGTCCACTGCACACGCGCCGAGCACGGGCGGAAACACAGCGCGCCGCGCGTCTCCACGTCACTTCGCTCCCCAGTGCACACTGCTGTTTTAAACTCGATTCAATCCCCCGTGCTGAACGACGGAACTCGTGAAAAACAAATCAATCTTGTTTTACAGGATATGCATTGGGGCTGAGCCTATGACCAAATCACCCGCAATGTGCCCATGCTTTTCAGATGTCTTTATATTAAGCACGGTTAAACCTGGATGGCGCCTGGATGGGCAACCACCATGCATAACGGATGTCATGGGCTGCCGAGCTACGTGATGGCAGCAGAGGGGAGTGTAGCATAACACACTGTCGTAGTGTAGTTCTATGCCCCCACTTCGATGTTCCACGCCTTCACCAATGACCAGCATGGTAAAATTAAATAAACCCCGTGAACCGCACAGCATGGGGAGGCCGTCATCCAGGAGTGAATTAACAAAAAAGAGAGCCATGCATGTACATAGCTAGGCTGGGTACACTCGAATGACATCACCGCACTGTCTCCCCGGCAATGTTGGACATACAGTGACATCGCCAAATGTAATTGTAACTTTGGCTACAAATGCTGCTGCAATTGCGACTATAATTGACCCCGGGCGTGTGCCGCCAGTACCCGGGAAGGAGGCGGTCGCTGTGCCCATCTTGGCGACGGTTCGCTCCAATAGGCGTCGGCCCCGGGAGAGCGAGGTCAGGAACGCCGCCTCGTTCTCATTGATCACGTCCATCACCTGCGTAAGGGGCACCGCGCCCGGGGCGGGCACCGTGCAGTGCCGGGTTAAGCTAGTGCGGGGCCTGTAGCATATGTTATAAAGGGGCCCTAAAAAAACCCCATAAATATGAAACACAAATTCTTTACTTGCATAGTAAAGTAATCGTATTTTTGTTCATTTGCTATACAGCCACATATAATACGACAAATCGCTAACCTTAAACACCCAGTCGTTCATAAAAGTAGTATAGTACTGTAGTAATAGAGCAAGTGTAGAATCACTGAACCGGAATTGATAGCTTGAAAGCATTTAGTGCGGGGCCCTTGAAAGTGCGGGGCCCGTAGCATTATGTAGCTACTTTCGCTACTGGGATAATCCGGCACAGGCTCCGTGGATTGGGGCAGAGGAACAGAGTCGGTTCGCGGTACAGGCAATCATAATTGCAAAGCGTCCAATCACAAACAAACGGGGGACAGTGTTATACAAATAGGGGGAGTTTGTTGGTGCGTGTTTTTACAACTCACCACCTGAGCCTCTCTGTTCAACTCGGGGTAAGTGTCGCCCTGCGAAAGACAAGCGCGGCAGGCGTCATCAACGTGCACGAACGGCAATGAGTTATGCATCGTTCTCTGGCACCAAGAGGCCTGTGGGGAGTGAGGGCGCTGTGGGCAGGGAGAGAATTGGTGAAGCAGGTGCGAGGGCGAGGATGAAGGTCACAATACGGATCACGGCCCGGGGTGGCACTTGTGAGATCAATGTGGTGTGGTAACAGCAAGGTGAGGTCTGGTAATTCTCAGGTCAAAGTGACGGCAATGGCGAGAGGGCAGAAGGTCAGTGGAAGCCACACCAGGATGTCGACCACCGTGGGCACCAGGCTGGCCAGCAACCCTGGCTGGGCCCGCAGCGTCTCGACGGCAAATCTCGTCGCGCGACGTAGGATTTGTCGCAGAACCAGCCTAGGTACACACGGGCCCAACAGGCAATCCATCAACACACGGACACAACACACGCAAGCACACATCTCCCTAGATCACTGCTGTACGGTGTGTATCATGGTGTCCATACAAGGGTATGTGTGCCATGGTCACCATGGTGTTGAGTGCTGTGTGTTGCCAGGCTGTGTATGATCTGGTATGGCGTGTATGTGACATGGGTGTGGGGCGCTGTGTGTGTGCGCCAAGGTATGGCATGGGGTATGTGTATGTGCTAGGCTGTGTGTAACATTGTGGGGAGCAGTAGTTTAGTGGTTAGCGCTACGCTGCGTTACGAACCCGGAGATCCGAGTTCGATTCGCGCTTACGGCCAACACCAGTGATGATTATCTGAACGGCTCCTGGGCATCCCCTAAGTTGACTCAGCCTCAAATGAGTACCTGATGCGGTGTGTAAAAACATCACCACTGGGGAGACAAAGGCGGCCGGGCGTGATGTTGGCCACCCATCCCTTTGTGTGCCATGCTGACCTTAATAGGTGCTCGCTAACAGCACTTTCCCCTACAGTCTAAGGCTCCACGGGGGATCTTTGTTTATGTTTGTGTAACATTGTGGGGAGTGGTAGTCGAGCAGCTATCGCACTGCCCTACGAGCCCAGCGACCCGAGTTTGATTCCCGCTCACAGCCAACACCAGTAACCATTCCTGGGTATCCCCTAGTTCGACTCAGCCTCAAATGAGTAGCTGGTGTGATGTGTAAACATCGCCACTACGGAGACAAAGGCGGCCAGGCATGGTGCTGGCCACACACCCCCTCGTGTTCCATGCCGGCCTAACAGTCTGTTAAGGCTACACGGGGAATCTGTGTCTTTTGACTTTGCAATGTAACACTGCGTATTCGTGTGCCAGGTCGTGGCGCGTACTCGGCGCCGGTCATGCCGGGGTAGACGCCGTCAGCAATGCACACGGCCAGGGTGCGCACGTGGTCGGCGAGCACGCGGTACGCCGTGTCCACGTGGCCCTCGTCGGCCTCGCCCACCAGGCCGCGGTACTCGCGCGCGCCTGTGCCCTGCGAGTCGGGAACGGCGCGCGGCGGGGGTTAGGGCACAATGAGGATGGTGCATCCTTGTGGCGATTCGCGGCACACTGTGGAACACGAAGGCACGCGGTAGAGCACGGCACACAGTCGAGTCCCGACTATGTCGCACGTCTAGCACCACGCCCGACCACCTGCAGCACTGGGCCTCAGCACGTGGCTGTGGGGCACAGCACAAGGCCACGATGCAGCGGTATGCACCACTGCAGGACGCAGTGCACAGCACAGGCTCGTCTCGTGAAGTGCACACCACAACCCGCTATCGGTAGGCCTGTGACGATTCCCAACCCCTACCGCCACCCAACGAATCCCTGCAATCATAACTAATGAAGCGCTGCGATTTTCTACAGGGATTGATTTTGATTTAAGAATACAAAAAATAGTTTTGACATTGTGGTTGACTGACCGTTGCACCTCCAGTGACTGCCAGAGTCATCTGAACCAATCTCCCACAAACGACATTGTGCAGCACCATGGAGTAAAATACTTCAGTCAATTTAACAAAAGCATCGTTAAATGGAAACTACGTATATATATTATGTATGTGTGTTGAACTTCTTTCGCACGATACGTAGCCAACCGTGCTAGCACAGCCTAGAGTCGGAGTTTCCTGCACCGTGGTTCCGATGGAACCGCACACCCGGGAGGCAGCGGGGAGCTGGGCCGACCTTGTGGATGGCGCTCATGATGGGCGTGAAGAGGTCGGTGTCGTAGTTGGACCGCTTGCCCTGCAGCACGGCCAGCAGGCGCTCGAGGCCCATCCCGCAGTCCACGTTGTGGCGCGGCAGGAGGCGGAGACTTCCGTTCTCCTCCCTGCAAAGACAAAGATCCCCTGTGTAGTGCTGTCAGCGAGCACCTATGAAAGCCGACGTGGCATACGAGGGGGTCAGTGGACCAACACCACGCTCGGTCACCTTTGTCTCCCCAGAGCTGATGTTTACACACCGTACCAAGCATTAATTTGAGGTTGAGTCAAGCTTGGAGAGGCCCAAGATTGGTCCAAATATAGACCACCGATATTGGTCGTGAGCGGGAATCAAACTCGGGTTGCTATATAGTGCAGTGCGCTCACCACCGCACTACCGCTCCTCATACAATAACAACAACCGCCATTTGCCACTAAGTGGCGGTGACGTCGCCACGGTGCTTGTGCCAGGCTATGTGCACGTTACGGCCACGTGAAGTGTCAAACGCCCGCTGGCAGGACGTCACGGGACAGACCCAGGTGCCATTGGTCACAACCACTCATTTATTAAACACGGGTAACAGATTTACAAGAGCAGTGCAGGTGTATCAGACAAAATGATAAAATTGACAATTTTTGGTTTCTTTTCCCCAATGTTATCCAATTTTTGCTATCAATGTCACGATACAAGATGTAGATTACATTTGGAACTCTCACAGAGCAGCGCATCCCACTATGCTCGAGAATGACACACGGAAGCAGATTTCACAAAACTACTTCTGAGATCTATTTAAGTAATCTCCGATCCACGCAGTACGGGGCAGCCGTTTCCCATCTGCCCTGTTACAGAGCAATGTCCGGATTCGGACTGAGAATCTCAGCAGTGCCGGCTAGGTGCTCTAGCCCATGAGGCAACCAGCCACTTCCTTCATCATTGTGTTTTATAATCTTTGGAATGTTTATCAGTCAGAATATTTATTTATCCCGGAAGAATCTGATTAACTATTTGGCTCTTTTTCACAGATCATTACGTCTTGGGTTTCTCACAGGACGGCAGGCCGTAGCTGCGTCACCGCTGGCCCATGCCCCGCTTGTGCTGTTCTGACCACCGGCCGCACCTGTTGTACTGCATAAACACCAGGTTCCAGATCTCCACCACGTCCGGGTGCCCGGCGTTGACGAGGCCGCTCGCGTCCCGCCCGCCCACGTGGTCGTAGTGGATCTCGGAGCACGGGCCGCATGGGCCCACCTCGCCCATCTCCCATAGGTTCTCCTTCTCCCCAAAGGGCAGCACGTGAGGCGCGGGCACGCTGGGAAGCACAGGAGGTGGTCGGGAGGCAGGGAGGGGGGATAGCAAGCAGTGGCGTAACTATCGTGTGTACAGGCAGTGAAACTGCACAGAGGTCAACAGCCTGGTAGGACCTCGCCTGAGGCTACGAAGAGGAGGGAAAGTGGATAAAGATTTTCCTTGCACCAGGGCCCCGAGCAGACGTCCTGACCCCCACCCCGGCACACGCAGGTGCTGGTGCTGCCACTTACCGAGGTAAACCCACCCACTTACCCGAGCTGCAGCCAAATCTCCCGGCACTCCTCGTCCGCTTTGAGCCCCAGGGCCTGGCTTCCTCCGAAATATGACACGTACAGACGCTCCTTGGGGATTCTATAGACCTCCGTCAGCAGCTCCCAAGCCATCTGGCATACCTCTTTCTGCGTGTGTTTATGAAAAAACACAAACGATACCACAGTGTCACATACACCATTCGTAAATTGTGGAATGAGACCTGAAAATGTTACAAAACCCGAAAGTGTCTCTGCTTAATCTCGATCCAGTTGCTCGCATGCAAGATGCAACCAGTTCAGTCCTCTTTCTGCCTCGATCCAACTTCTGAACAAAGCAATATCATCGATACTCTGCTCAGTATGTGTGATCTAGCCTTTGCTTTGCTGGAAAAGCAAGTAAACATTCTCATTGCAAAAACGATCTTAGAAAATAATAGTGTTTGTTATTGTAGCTACTCGACACATTTGAACACACAAAGATAGAAAAAGCCTTACATTGTTAGCAACCTGGCAGTTCTAACTTGTGCTGGGTAAACTTCCTACAACTACTTAGAATAACAATCTGTATTTATCCTGCAGTAATCTCATGAGCCATGAAGCTCTTTTTTCACAGACGCCCAGTACGGCCAGGTCATAAAGTTATAACAATAATACAAAAACCGATAAGAGTGGAAAGTATAAGAAACGTAAGCAAGTCAAGAAAAATAAATAAACGTAAATAAAGTATAGAAGTACAAATTAGATAAGTTCATAGATTCCTGCCGACTGTTCAACACTGCGGAATCCCACTGTTCAGGATCACAGACCACGTGCCTAACCACCACCGCCGCCCGTCATGGGCCACCTTGAAATAGTCTCCGAAGGACCAGTTTCCCAGCATCTCGAAGAAAGTGTGGTGGTAGACGTCTCGCCCAACGTCCTCCAGGTCGTTGTGCTTGCCGCCGGCACGCACGCACTTCTGGCTGTTGACGGCGCGGGTGCAGCGCGCCAGCTCGCTCCGCGGGTCCACGCTGCCCAGCAGCAGCGGCTTGAACTGCGCACGGTGCGGGCACACGGGGTGGCACAGGTCATTTCGCAGGGGATGTAGCACAGGAGGGGGCGTCACAGGTTATGCCAAAGTTGATGGTACAGATTATAACATTGGTGGTGGTACAGGCATTGTGGCACGGTTGATGGTACAGGTGACGATACAGGTGACGATACAAGTGATGGTACAGGTGTTGGCACGGTGATGATACGCATTATGGTACAGGTGATAGAATGGGATTGGCTGACAAATGTAATGCCAAATGTGATGGCAAAGATTATGCTTCAGGTGAAGGTTATGTCACATGCTGTTTGTGGGATATTGGTTCAAATGACTTTTGTAGCCAGTTATCAGTCCATGCTTCGTCTATCACCTCGAATTCGTGACTATTGCCCCTTTAATTAAATTCAAGACCTACAACCTTCACCAGTACCTAGCCAATGCCCTTTCAGCACTCTACCCATGCCCTCTCAGTACTTGGCCCATGTCCTCTCAGAACCCATGTCCTCTCAGTACCCATGTCCACTCAGAACCCATGTCCTCTCAGTACCCGTGTCCTCTCAGAACCCATGTCCTCTCAGTACCCATGCCCTCTCGAACCCATGCCCTCTCAGTACCCATGCCCTCACAGTACCCATGTCCTCACAGTACCCATGTCTACTCAGAACCCATGCCCTCTCAGTACCCATGTCTACTCAGAACCCATGCCCTCTCAGAACCCATGCCCTCTCACTACCCATGTCCTCTCAGTACCCATGTCCACTCAGAACCCATGCCCTCACAGTACCCATGTCCTCTCAGTACCCATGTCCACTCAGAACCCATGTCCTCTCAGTACCCATGTCTACTCAGAACCCATGCCCTCTCAGAACCCATGTCCACTCAGTACCCATGCCCTCTCAGAACCCATGTCCTCTCAGTACCCATGTCCACTCAGAACCCATGTCCACTCAGTACCCATGTCCACTCAGTACCCATGCCCTCTCAGTACCCATGCCCTCTCAGTACCCATGCCTTCTCAGTACTCATGTCTACTCAGAACCCATGCCTTCTCAGTACCCATGCCCTCACAGTACCCATGTCTACTCAGAACCCATGTCCTCTCAGAACCCATGCCTTCTCAGTACCCATGCCCTCACAGTACCCATGTCTACTCAGAACCCGTGCCCTCTCAGTACCCGGCCCATGCCCTCTCGGCACTCTGCCCACGTGCTCTTGGCTGTCCCACGCCCCCTCGCGTCCACGGCACCGCACCTGGTTCATGCCGGCGTTGACGAACAGGAGGCTCGGGTCGGCCCGCGGCTTCACGTTCGAGGACGGCACGAACGCGTGTCCGTGCTTCTCCCCGAAGAAGCGGACGAACGTCTCTCGCACCTCCTTGGAGGATGGCGATGCCTCCGCCGACGACGAGATAGACGGTGCTGAGCAACATCCTCCTCCGCGCGCTCCTGCCCTCTCCGTCGCGGCCACAAGCTCGCGCCTGGGGCTCTGCCATGCTGGGATCCAACCCCCAACTCCAACGCGGACCCTGGGCCTGACCCTGCTCAACATTGGGCGGCAGTCGGTGAAAGCAGTCGTCGGCTGGAGGTCAAACGGCGAACGAAACCTCCCCCCCCCCGTTCGTGCCGTGGGCCCGTGGGATTCGTTTGGGTTTTGTCGCCGCCGCCACACGGGGGCGCCACCCGGACGCGGAGATTCGCGACGTCCGTCACCCCCAAGGTGGTCGTGGGTTTGTTTTTCGGGTCGCGTTTTGAACCCAATTCTGACATCTGCTGGCCGCGTTCTGGCACGGCGGCTTTCTGAGATAGGCGATGATCTGCCCAAAGGCTTTTTGTAGGTTTTATGTCGTGGTGGGGCCGTTTCAGAGCAGAGATTGGCTTGATTTTAGGGCGTTGCTTTTAAATCACTGGGGACTGAGACTATTTCAGTTTTATACCTTTCCACGAAGTGGATATTGCGACGGTGTCCGTCTCGAATTGTGATCTGCTTCATCATACGGAGTTTTAAATTCCTCCACGGGTTTTTTCTTTCATTATGCGACAGGTTCAGATGGTTTTCAATAAAAGCCTTTCATGCAATCGGCCTCTGAACCACGGTGGTGTGACGTTATCTTCCTCGCCTCGTATGCAGGAGGTTCTGGGGTTAGATCCCGACGCCTGTTGTATATTTTGAGTTTGCATGTTCTCCCCGTAGTCGCGTGGATGTTTTCTCCGGGTCCTCCAGTTTTTCCATCCACATTTAGAAACAAGCATTGAGATGATTTTGCTGCTATAAATTACACTTCGTTGAGCTATCATGTGGCCAAGCTGCTTGACAAATAAGTTAATCTCTGTGGGCTTTGCCTGGTAGAATGGGGATTGTTTTGCGTTTGGGCGTTTACCTTTCTTGTAATTAGCACGCCTATCGTGTATTGTTGTTGTAACGTTCTTACCCACCCATCCTAGACTCCTCCAGTATATTGTTCTAAACTTATCTTGATCTTAAGTTGATTGCGGCAAAGGGTTCTCACACTTTGGTCTTTCACAGCCTCGCAGATGTTACCCAAAAAACAATATTCATCCATGTACCACATTGCAGATGTAATACAGTTCCAGTAAGCTTTTCCAAAATCTCTCCAACACTATTAGAAATTGGCTGGTTGCTGCCTTGCTCAAGCTTGCATGTAATGTTGAGAAAGCAGCCATTTATGAACGCATTTTGGACTATTGGTTTTTTTGTAGTTGTAAATTCACCATATTTTTCCAGTATAAATATTTATATCGATTCTGTCTCCCACCCATGATAAAAATTGTGCCATTAACAAGAACCAATGCCAAAGCAGCACATCACTGCCCCTCCACAGAAAATAAGCCTGGTAGAATCCCAAAATTTATATTAATAGGTTATACCCTTTTATCTGGCACCAAAACTGACACCTTTATACAAGGGATCATGTTGGTGCCAGATAAAACACCTATTACTATATTTTGCTACTGGCAAAGGTCTCATAATGTAAATCCCAACATTGTCATGCACTCATCTGTTTCCCTCAAAAAAGAGTTTGAGCTCGTATTCAATCCGAAGTTGTGCAAAAGCAAACTTTTTGTATTGGTGACCAGGCCACATCAACTATTTAACCTAATTTAATCAAACGTGGCTGAAGATTTGATCTCTCAGGAGAACCACCACTCATCCACCTAAGTTGACTTTAAAACCCTGCCGGGTTACTTAATCTCAATATTAAACAATTCAAGCTCAAGAGCATTTCATTAAGCAGTTTGACAACACTTTTGCACATCTGAAGCGCAGATGGCATTCACTTGGCCGAGCACTAAAACATTTGTACAGATTATTCACATTTTTACGCGTAAACAGATATACAGATTTTAATCAAGGACACCAAACAGTGAAGGTTTTGTTTGCAGGGTGTATTTCAGAATTGTGATTAAGCAAACAATGCAACAGATTTTAGAAGCATTTATGTAGAGTTTGAGTTGGGGCCCTTCTTCTTGCCGAAGCTGGGCACCACGTTGACGAAGCGCCGGTTGTACTGGATTCGTCGCTTGGCGCGTCCCGTTTTCTTCTTCTTTTTCTCCTGTTTGGCGACCTGAAGAGCATAACCAGACACAACAGGTCAATATCCCTCCCCTACCCCCACTGTTTTAAGTTTATTTTGTATAGTCACCTGATAACTCAAGAGACCAGGAAAGTCTCATTTGAAAAAGTGACCTGAATTTAACTATATTTTTTTTACATTTAATGTATGGCTTTGAAGGCGATGGTTTACAATAAAGCGAAAGGTCCAAATGCCAGGACTAACTCAAGTTGCATAACAAAGTATGTCATGTTTCAATCGCTGTTAGGATGGTGAAAATAACGAATGGCTACTCAGGGCAAAGGTAATCTATACCAGCTTCTAACTGCCTCTGACCAGAACTGTGAATTGGCTCTCTCCCAGCAATAATAACGCTCGGGAAAACTTCCTTTTGCCTTCAACACAAACATCCACATACCCTGCCATATTCACACAAAACACACATGTGGTTTCAACTCACTTTGGGAGTCTGACCCTTCACCTTTCCGGCACGCGCCAGCGAGCCGTGCACTTTACCTGTGGCACCACACACGCATCACACCGGGTCAGCAAAGCAAACACGTGCAACCTTTGCGTCAATCATCATCGCGTTTTCGCTAAATCCAGGTAGCGCGGCGTAGGGGCACACCTCCCAAGAGGCGAGCGGTCAGCTCCAGGGTGGCGTGCTCAGCCAGGCCGCACAGTTCCAGCACGGCGTCATCTTCCAGGGGGGCCCCGGCCACCGTGAGGACCTGCTCCTCGGCAGGGATCCCCTCCAAAGGAGCAATGCGCTCCTGCACGCACACAACACACGGCCCCATTTACAATATGTTTCTATGCAAGTTATTTGAGAGGTGTAAAGTGGTGGTGTAACGTGTGGGCACTCACATCTCCAACAAGGTGTCTCGTCAGCATGGAATTAGTCAAATACCATCTGGAGATTCCCTCTAACGGGGAATTTGGCGAGCAGGAAAATGTGCCAAGCCAGGCGAACAGAGTTCAAATCCCAGGCATGGCTTTTATCTGGCGTGACATGAACCTATCCTGGAGCTGCCCTTCACCAACCCGCACTGACCAGCGTGAAGCACTGTAAGGTTAAACAAACCTCATGACCAACACAGGTATTGGGAAGGCCCTACATCCAGCAGTGGCTTTACCACGGCTGACGATGTGAGAAATATTTAAGGAGTAATTCCCGATACTTGTAATCTGAACTCAAATGAAGGTCGCATCACTTGCAAGAACTTACCTTCAGCTCCTGGACGGTTTCATGTGCAGAAATGTCCAACGCGTGGACATTCTGACCTCGTACGAACAGCTGCATGTTTAAGCTGTAAAGACAAATTCGGTGGAGATTTACGATCAGTGGCGTATGAGGCGATGACTTTCGTCTCATTTGTACATGACGTTAGAATACGCGTGGAAGGAGGGCAACAGCCCCTGGTCGCTAAGCCACGCAGCCACTCGGGCTTAACTCGCGGAGCCCCGGGCCCAAAAAACGTGTAGCGGTCCATTTTTCAAAACTTTTTTTTAATCTTTGTGAACATAGTTCAGCCCGACTATTAAACGAGTCCACGGAACACAATCCGCTGTGCCATGAAGCCCTCCCACAAGAATCCTAGACCCCTCAACACCTCTGAAATGAACCCTTTATGAATACACTAGCGCGATTGTCATTCCGATTACCACGGTTGGTGACGTACGGTGCGAAATAAGTTCAACATACGCAAAAACGAACCACAAGACGCTGTACACAGATAATCAAACCTCCCGCTGTGATAGAAACCCTAGAATCCGCCTCGCATTAAAACCCCCACCACGTGAAGTCGCCACGATTCGCTTTTCACACGAGCCCCCCCTTGAATGACCCCCCCCCCCGCCCCCCCACCACACACCAATCCACGTGGCCGGGTGTATCTTAAGCGAAACATTCTCCCGAGTTAACGCGCAGAGAGAGAGAGGCTGAACACAGAGGGGGAACCCCGCTCCGCCGAGTCGGTTCATGCCACCGGCCCCGGACGGCGCCGCGCTAGGCCCGAGGCCCTCGCGCCAACCTCCCCGAGCGGCGCGAGGCCCCTCGGCTACCACCACCACCACCACCCCCCGCGAGCCGTGCGGCGCTCATACAACTACAAGCAGAGCAGGGCCTCCCTCACGCGGGGTGGGAGAGGAGAGCGCCGCGGCGAGACCGGAGCACGCTGCATCACCTGCGAGGCGCCTAAGATGGAGGCGGTAGAGAGAGAGGGAGAGAGGGGGGCGGGGGGACGTAGTGCGCATGCGCGGAGGGGGGGGGGCGACATCGCGGCGAACCACGTGGGCGAGCGGACGTTGCCCCATGGTGATATCCGCGTCACGTGGTCGGGATGGATGGGGTTGCCGTGGAAACACAGGGAGCCGGTCACGTGGTCTCGGGATGGGTTGGTTGCTGTGGGCGATGGGATGTCACGTGGTGGGAGGGGGGGTGCATAAGCTTCCCCCCGCCCCCCACGTGACGTCATTTACACCATGCACGACGTGGTTGATGGTGGTGGTGGTGACGGGTTGTGGTACTGCTGGAGTGCTGAGGGTGGTCGTGTCGGTACGAGGTTGCGTGTATAGAAGCAGCTCGAGGAACTTCCGGTGACTCAGCCAGTCATCTCAGACAACCCATGGCACCTGCAGGGTCGTCTGTCCCGTGACCTCCTGTCAGCGAGCCATCGACACTTCACGTGGCCTCAAAAGTGCACCTGGCCTGGCACAAGCACTAGTTGTGGCGGGTTTTGGTATCGGTTACCTCAAATGAGTACCAAGCGGGGGGGTGGGGGAGACAAAGGCGGCCGGGCGTGGTTTCTGACAACCCAACCCCCTCGTGTGCCCTGCCGGCTATCATAGGTGCTCGCTAACAGCCTGTTAAGTCTTCACGGGGGATCTTTGTGTTTGGGCACCTCAAATGAGTACTAAGTGCGGTGTATAAACTTCGCCACTGTGTGTAGTCGGGGGGGGGGAGACAGACAAAGGCGGCCGGGCGTGGTTTCTGACCACCCAACCCCCTTGTGTGCCGTGCCGGCCTTTACAGGTGCTCGCTAACAGCACTTGCCCCGACTGCCTGTTGTAGGCTACACGGGGGACCTTTGTCTTGGGGTGGAAGTCACGTGAGGGGCGGTCACGTGCTCGCCGCGCAGGGGAAAAATGGCGGCGCCCTGGAGGAGCGTGGCGGCGGTGGTGGTGGCGGCGTCGCGCAGGGCGCTGATCCCCGCGGCTGCCGGCTTCGTGCGCCCGGCCCGGGTGAGACCTCCCCACGCGCGCATCTTTACAACAGAACGATAGCAATCGCAGCTCGTGACGCAGACAAGGGGTTTTGAGTTGCTTATCAAAAATTAACGGCATGAAGTAACACGTTCTGTCCGTCAAGGCTACAAAAGCCCTCCCGAAGAAGCCAATGTCTTGTGGCAGTGATTGTTTAATCGGCGAACGGTGCACGCGCGGGGTTTTCTGCAATGAGACGGATACAAACTTCATGACTGTTGTGCTTTGGTTTTGTCAGCATGGACGTATACTGTCTTCGCTGGTGTCGCTGCAGTATCAAGGTCGACAGCTAAAATTCACACGGGCGGCGTTTGACCCGCCCCGTCATGAGAATTATCATTATCTGGAATCGATACGAGTACCATTTTGTAGGGAGTAAATAAAGGATGTTCATTCTGTCGGAAGATTGCCGTCTGTCATGGGAATGTTGAATTCGCACCGGTTATTCATGGCTGTCAACGTTGATAGCTGCCGCATCATTGCAAGTTTGGCGCGGAGAATGCGCTTGGAATGTACTGCAGACAGCGTTTAAATGTATCACGTCACAGCATTTTTACTGCTTAAATAACGTCTGCCACTTAATTGCAGATACCTTGATAGCGTTGTGCTCATGACATGATTTTACATCCCTCAGTAAACATTGTTATGAATGTAAAAGCAATACATCAACAAATATTGCACAACTAAAGCGGTTCATGCAAGCGCCTGGAATATGAGCGTTATCCCCCCTAGCATATATTATTTAGTCCACTAAACTATACATAACTAGTTGGACTTCTATACAGGAGAGTAAATGAACAAAGACTGTATGCAATAACTCAGAAATGGAATCCTTATGAAATAGTTTATATTTAATTGAGCACCACACGGGTTAATGTTAAATCCAGACATGAATTATGTGCATTAAAATGTCCGCATACAGTATGTATTTTTTTTACTTCTTTCGCACTGTACGTAGCCAACAGTGCTAATCGGAGGTGATAATGCATTTATTCTGTATCTTATTTAGTTATGTATCATGTGTCGCTTGCACGGGGCCACGTGAGCAAAGGGAACGACAGCAAAATGCATTGCGCGGTACTATGCATCAACGTGTATGCTGTCTGCCTTCACCTACCCGCACTAATCAGGGTCAAATAACCTCCGCAGACTTGCATGACGTGGGACGACCCTCATCCAGCAGTGGATTGACAAAAAACGTCTGTACGTTTATCTAATATTGCGTGTGTTTATTTTCTGTTACAGTGCTTTTGTGAAAAAGTTTCATCTCAACCTGACCAATACACCGGAGTAAAAATATCATACGACGATTTTCACTATGTTGAGAGACTGATTCCTCCACTCCGAGTCCCCACGCCTCCCAAGCACGAGCGCTACCCAACGCCGTCAGGGTGGAGCCCCCCACGAGGTGAGACTGGGCCTGCTAATAACCATTCCCTCTTAGTCAAAGCCACACGTTAACTCTTCCCCATTCCGATGATGTACATGTACGTCATCAGTTGACGTACACTAAAATAACTTTATTGGTATCGAGGCTCCCACAAGACCATGGGTGTGTGTCACAGTTTGGCGCCAGCTATCATAGAGTGCAGTCGTGTCCCTATAGTTCTCTGCGGAGAGTACAATGTCTTTTAAAAACAACGGCTCTATACCTCTCTAAATAAAATTAATGCTAACCGCTTACACGTTCCAAGGTAGCGGTGAACCGGACCCACCCTGCAACTTGCAGATGTCTCGGAATGGGAAAGGGTTCACATGAAGTGTGAAGCAATTAGTGCATCTGCACAGTACATTAAATTACTTGTTTAATTGAAAAATACCTACATTTAAAACCAGGTGAGAACCCATTGAAACCAAAACAGGACTCTTTTTTCAAGGAAGACGGGTCAGAACAAAGCATGGCATATCAATGAAATCCAGAATCAAAGGTAACACAGTGCAAAAAAGAAATATAATTTAAAACTTAAATGAAGTGACATTCATTTTGGAAAACATTTAAAAATGGAGGTATAACTCAAAAAGCACATTCATAGTTATGGAGCAGTGCATGCAGTTTAGGCACTGCTTGGGAAGGAACGGTTTTGTTATATAGAGCAGCCGCAGTATTATTACATATTCCAGCCTTCATGTAATGTAGGCCCTTGCAGAAAGTGAACTGAGAAGGTCGGACTTTATTTTACTCCCGTGCCATAACTGAACTTTATCCGAAACCTGTGAAAACTATGTATCACTCCCCAAATCTACTGTGTCCTTACAAAACATGTTTGATGCTTATCATGAACAATTGTGATAGGCATACTACCTTTGTCTCTTGATTGTTGAGATGCTTGTTAATGTGTGTTAAAATGTGGACTAACCTCATGGTCGTCTGTCTTTAAAGACCTGGTTTAACGTGAAAACATTTGCAAGATGGTCATTGACTAAACAGGGAAGGCATTTGTTCCGTGAAGTTGTCACTTAAGTGGAAAGTCAAGTGGAAAGAGGCAATTCCCTTCCACACTTTTGTACACTCACCCACTGGAACATGCAAAGACCTGCCTGATGAAGTTAAACCTTTACATACAAAATAGTTTCCTTTGAATATTGATTTAAAGCTTTCGTGACTGTAGGGATTCATATTTCAGGAATATTTTGATATTTTTTTCCTGTATTTTCTGTTTGCACAGTCACATAATCACTTTAAGATGTTTTCTTGTTCATGTTTTTTGTTTGTTGCGGTTGCACCCGATTCAAGAGCCGAATGGCTCACAGGGCTATACCAAATAAATGAACTATGAACTATATTCTTGGTTCTTTCGGTAAAGTCACGTAGAAGGGAAACAATAAAATAAAAATATATATTTAAAAAATATATATTTTATTGTTTCCCTTCTATGTGACTTTACCGAAAGACCCCATAATATGAATATAGTTTCCTTTGGTTCCACATTTGCTGCCAAGCAAGGGATGTTTTTTTTTACTCCTTCGTCCCTTAATAGCTACGGTTGGATTTATGTGCAAGTATATTTTAAAAGTCGCACATTTTGGAAGCTGATTGCCACTCATCTTGACAACAGTCCAAACTAAATTAATTGTATTATCTATTTTTGTTTGCTACCTACTGCTGAATTATTTAATGCCAGCTGGATTTATTGCATTCATTTTACAAAGTTAATGCGTGCATTGAAATGTAATTCTGTTGAACTCTGTTCACTGGGTAATATTGGTTTGTGCCTATTACCGTGTGGTTAATGGTACTTGGCTATTAATGGGCGTTAAATAATACTGTCCCTATCAGATCCACCACCTGCTCTTCCATATTTTGTGAAGCGAACCCGAATGCACAACATTCCCGTGTATCAAAAAATGACTCACGGCAATCGGGAGTTGACAGTCATCAGCAACATCGAAGGCGATATCTGGGTAAGTGTCTTATTGTCGCATTACACATGCATTGCTAAAAATGTAATTGACGTTACTGATTAATATACCTTGGGCAACTGGAAATACGTATTCTCATAAAACAGCAGATTGTTTGGTATTTCACAAGTGAGAAGCATTAACTGCATAATCTGGACATTCTATTGAGCTGTATAATGTACGTGGACTCCCTCCCCACGTCAACTTATTGTTGCCTACTTTAGCCAACAGTAATTGTGGTGAAATTTAAGGCTAATGGTGACGAGATCTCCTTGATGTAGTTCAAATGTCTGATTTTTAAATACAATTGCTGATTTATGTTGTCACCTTAGTGATTTTAAATAATTGGAAGTGTTTTGGTTTATTTTCCATAAATGTAAGAAAGTATCCATGAGGCTTGTAACATAGACTCGTGCATGTGAGAATCTATGAATTCTTTTTAAAATTTATTTGCAAATAAAGTGGGGGAGCGGTGATAATGATTAGTGTACTGCTGAATGATCTGGGAAACCTGCTTTCAATTCTTGACAATGGTTAATATGAGTGGTGATATCTCAACTACGAGCACTGATTAGTGTAGTGAATTATGGTTAAACAACCCCCACGATCAACACAGCACGGGGAAGCAATGGATTGATAATCTGTAAATTATTATGAATGCAAATAGTATGATATTGTTCCGTTTAGACAAGTAAAGTGAACCAAGCTTTGTGCATGAGAAAGAACAACATTCACAATAATAGTAATAATACTAAAGATGATGCATAACACGATTCCTTTTTTCATACAATCCTGGCTCTACGACTATCGGGCTGCATGCCTGTATGATTTTAATACAATTATTGGTGTGCACTGAGTACACATGATAACATGAATGTTATTTACATTGAGATTGTCGTTGATGCAGTTAATGTGTCCACAGGTTCTGGAGAAAGAAGTCCGAGAACTCTTAAAAACTTTATCTGGAGAGGAACCACTTATAAGAGTCAATGAAGTCTCCATGAAGATAACCATCAGAGGATACTTTGATACCCAACTGAAGGCGTGGTTGTTGGAGAAAGGCTTTTAAGTCTAGCCTCATCATACATAGTTTAATAAATGTCTACTTGTTGACATTTATCACACAGAGATTAACCAGGCATATATGGATACAAGTTTCAACAGCTGTCAATGCGCGCTTATGTGTATGTAACGAACTGTTATGGCCCATAATTTGCGGATCTATAATTTTTCAAATAAATGGTACAACACCCTGTTTATGTTTTGTTTGTGTTTTTTTGATAAATGTACAGTATTTAGAAAAGCTAACCTAAAGCATGACATGAGCAGTGTGTGATAATTTTCACTTGCAAAAATCAAAACATGCAACACAAACTATGTTGGAAGTTCAGCAGGTGGCAAAAGAATTAGTACTAAAACTGATTGGTCTTCAAACGCATTCATTTACTCAGTGCACAGCAACAGGTGTGGATAGATGTGGTATCTGACATTGAGTATTTTCTGCAGAGCTATTTACCACAGCATTACACTGATACAGCTTTAAAACAGCTTTTACTGGGATTGAACTCTGATTAGGGGTGCTGCGATGGTGAGATGTTAACTCCCTCACCTGTTATGCAGGACGTCGTGGTTTTAATCCCGACCCTGACGCTTGTATATTTGGAGTTTGCATATTCTCCCCATGGTTGCATACGTTTTTCTCCAGGTCCTCTGGTTTTTCCCTCTACTTAATAATAACATGCTTTTCGAGTATTGGGCTGCTATACATTTCCACACAAGCCACTTCGTTGAGCTGTCATTTGTGGGCAGGTCGTGTCTGGAAAAGAGCTGTATCGTTCAGTGGACCTTACCTGGTCAAATGAAATAGGTTTTTGCAATGAGACAAGATTTTATAGAAAACCTGTCCTATTGGTAAAACAATTTGTACAGATTGATTAATTATGCTCTGCTTTGTGTAGGGATTGTGCGAGTGCTGACCCAATCTGAGGGGGGAAGGGAGAAAATCCCCGTGGATATCTGCGAAAGCCAGAAGCGAGGTAATGTTTTATTGATCTCTGCTAAATACAACTTTGAGAAGTAGATGGATATTTCCAGGAATTCATCCACGCTTTAGGTGTTGACTGCATGGATGCTTATTGCAGCATGGTCACTAACAACATGTTGGGAAACGTGTATCCATGGTATTAACAAGTGAAACGTGTTTAGTCTAGCGGTTTTTTTTGCACGCAATTATGACAACGCGCCAGATGTTGCAGACAAGTCAAAAACTCAAGGGGCACGGCGCCAAGCTCAACTGCTCGAAAGCCTGACCAAACAGGCCTTTAGATGTTTCTTAAAAGTCAAGAGTGCATTTGATGTTGCGGATGTCAAAGAGATAGAGTTCAACACCGAGGAGGCGACAGCAGAGGACCCACGTGAGGCTGTAACAGTTCGATAAATTGGTGTCTGAAATAGATTTTGAGTGACGCTGCGTAGGGTTCTACCATGAGCTGTGCAAGGAGAGAGTAATGAGGCGAGGTATGGTGGGGAAGTGGTGGTGAAGGCGCAATGAAAAAGAAAGGCGAGTTTATCATTTGTCCTGCTAGCGAAAGGGAGCCAATGAAGAGTACGGAGAGCGGTGGCCGAGTCGAGTTGTCGATGATGGACACCTAGTATGGCACGAGCAATGTTCTCTAACCGCTGCAATTTGAGGATGTTGCTTGATGGTGACTTGGAGAGAATGGCATTACATTTTTCAAACTAGAGTATCGGCAATCTGCATGGAAAGAAATGTGCACACTTTAGTCGTGACTTCTTGGAGTGCTCCATACATGAAATCCTTACTTGAGTTCTTAAGGAAGGTGTTTATGGGGTCATGTAGTGTCATTGAACCAAATTATACTCCTACGATGGTTTGCATATGGTGTGGCTGGTCACCCTTTGTGCCTTTACACGAGTGATTCTTTTTTTTCTGTATCAAGCCTTGCAGCGAGTCAAATGGCAACGTTCGCATTCTGTTGTAAATGTTATTGCTCACTGGGTTGTTGACTCCATTCTCTGGTGTGATTCCTACAGGTCATCGTCCTCCTCTGCATAAAAGTGGGCAATATTACAACCAAGCTTTTTTTAATGTCAATGATTTACAGCAGGTTCTGGCTTTTACCCACACATAAAAAAATATATTCTAATAATTCCATGATTATTTGAGAAGTGTATGGAAGCTGTGATGATGAGAACTCTGATTATTTTCATCACGTACGAACTCATTGCGATTCATTATCGATTTTACAATATTTCTGAGAGTGTATTTAGGCAGGGGTAGATTTATGATGTACGTTCTTAGATGACATCTCAGGATTTAATGGGAATGTTCCATTTGGGCTATACATCTCGGTCACATTGTACAGGTAAAACCTAAGGTTATTTTTGCTTTACATTAACATTTAATCGTTTGTTAAAGTTTTTATCCTGATGGTAAATTGTAAACTTAGAAATTGTGACAAACTGCATTATGTCCTAGATACGTAACGTTACACCATGGCATTCAATATTTGCAGTTGTCTTTCATTCATTCCATCATAGATGCTCTTTTTGTAATACCCTTCCATCCACAAACCCTACCCAGATACAAACAGCCTCAGCAAAAGCAGTTCCCAACTTGTTTAACCACCTGTAATGTGTAATGGCACTAATGGAAGGCAATGGAACATGATGTTTGGCACAGCTGAAGTAGTTGGATGCACAAGGACCTGGAAGAGTGGGTTGTAAATGGATGCTCCATGTGAGCCTGATAGGTATCAGAAGAGGGATATTGAGATAAGCTTTACTTATTTTTGGTGTGTGTGGGTTCTCTGCGGGCCTACGGACAGCACGGTTAGGGTTAAGGTGCAGCCCGTGGGTTCAACATACCGGGCAAACAGGGACCTTGACCCTTAAGTCACCCGCTCTTTACGCAGGGTACCCGCGTTAACAAAAGCAAAGTGTACACCAAAGCACAGCTCCAGATTAATTTATTGAAACACAAAATGTACTCGAAAACGGTGCACGTACTAATTGCCAGGGTATAGAGGGCCCCCAGACATTACAGACAGTGGGATGGTCTCTATGACAAGGTAATGAACATTTTTTAAAAGGTCTGCACAGCTCATCGGCTTCCTCCAGTGCGGTATATGTACTTACCTCATTCCTCGGTGAGTGTCCACTGAGGCCAGACATCACTTGCGAGGGAGAACCCGAGAGTATACACGTGAAATAAAATACGGTAAAAGATGAAATGTAAAGAACCCCTATTGAAAATTGACGCGACTAAATCAAGCACCACAGTCTGGAGTGTGCGTCCATTTGAACCGTAAGATACGTTGGCAGACGGTGCTTGATAAAGTTCTGCACCACTTGCTGCATTACCCAACACATTTGTGACCGTGGTGTCGAGTTGAGGTGACGACTGACGAGAGATAGAGAGATGAGTGCACGGGCAAATGCCGTGAGATTGCCGAGTGGCGCCGTGAGCCCCACGCGGCCCCCCCCCCGGGCACCAAATGCCCCCCCCCCGGGCACCACGCGCCCCCCCCCGGGCACCACGTGGGCAGGGAAGAGTCCCCACGCCTTGACAGTTCTTACCGCACACAAACACACACGTGTTTGTGTAGTGTAGCGGTTAGCGCTACGCTGCGCTATGAACCCGGCGACCCGGGTTCGATCCCCGCTCACGGCCAACACCAGTGACGATTATCTGAACCGGTCCTGGGCCTCCCCTAGATCGACTCAGCCTCAAATGAGTACCTGGTGCGGTGTGTAAACATCGCCACTGGGGAGACAAAGGCGGCCGGGCGTGGTGTTGGCCACCCACCCCCCTTCGTGTGCTGTGCCGGCCTTCATAGGTGCTCGCTAACAGCACTTGCCCCTACAGTCTAAGGCTACACGGGGGACCTTTGCCTTGTGTGTGTTTAACAATAACGTGGCTTTGTTCGAGAGACACCACAAGCCGGTCTAAACACCCCCAACTCCACAACGTAGCCTCCACGATACCCTTGTCCACTGCTGGACGGTCCTCCCACTCCCCCCCCCACGTCGCGTCGGTTGTTGTTATAGTTCGTTGTCGGACCACACAACAACAACAACATCAACAACAACACATCAGCTCCGTTTGTCGTCGCGGGTTTGCCGGTGGTTGTTGTGGTTGTCCGTGTTATGGAGGCGGCAGGATCGCTCGCCCCGGTGTGGCCGGGGTTCGTAGCGATGCTGGTGGTAGAGGAGGACGAGGAGGGTGGAGGGGGAGGGAGGACGAGGTGGTAGAGGAGGACGAGGTGGTAGAGGAGGACGAGGTGGAGGAGGAGGAGGGAGGAGGAAGGAGGAGGCGGTGCCCTGAACCCACCCACCCCCGGGCACGCGGGGCCATTTAACGCGGGTGGCCTTGAGCCACCGCCACAACGCTGCGTCTCCTCGCCCCTCTCTGTCTCTCTCGCTGCTGTTGTCTTCTGTGTCTCTCAGTCTCTTGTGGTTGATGGTGGTGCTGGTGTCTGTGTCATCGTGTCTCCTTGTACGCGGTGTCTGCCCACCACCCCCTGGTGACTCGTACTCCCCTGTCGCTCTGTGTCTCTCTGAACAACGTGCCGCGTGTCCCCCCTCTCTCTTATCTCCCCTGGCTCCTCGTGTCTTTTACATCAGTGTCTGTCTCTCTGTCCCTACGTCTCTTTCACTCTCCTCGGATTCATCATTCACATCAGCAGCAGCAGCAGCATCAGCAGCAGCAGCGTCGTCCTTATACCGCGGGGACCCGGCCAGGCCGATAAAAAAAGAGGTAGCGTTTGTAAAGAGGGCACCGTGTTTAAAGTTAGTCTCGTACACTCGTTAATAATAATATCTGTACAGTGTTGTTCTTGCCGAGTGAGTGAGTAACTCGCGGCGTGCTGACTGGCGCCGCTGTGTGGCTCTGCGCATTTCCTGCCCGGCTTTCAATGTGTTCGTGGCGCCACGTGTCGGAGGTCAACTCGCCACGTGTCGGAGGTCAACTCGGCCTCCAACTCGGTGTGTGGTAGTCGTAGTAGTAGTAGTAAACGTCGCCTCTGGGGGAGACAAAGGCGGCCACCCCGTCGTGTGTGCCCTGCCGGCCTTCGTAGCTTGCTACTCGCTGACAGCAACTTGCCCCCAGCAGGCTGTTGAGGGTAGTGGTGGGGTGGGTGGTGGGTGGTGGTGATGTCCGTGTTTTATTTGTGTAATTGCTTGTGTTGTATGCTGTGGTTAGTGCGTTGGTAGTGGTGGGTTAACCGAGTTTCAGTTCCCGATCACTGAAAGTCACAGCATCATCATCATCGCCAGTCATGTTGTCATCCCATCCCCCCCCCACACTGTCATCGGCACTCATCACAGCTCCCACGTGTTTGTGGTGTTCCCGGGTGTGGCCGATATTCATTTAAATATTTCACCTGGGAAGTAAAACCCCTTGGGATGAAACCTCTGGTTTGCAAGGCAGTCCCAGGGTGTCAATTGACGCGTGGATGACGGCCACAGCAAGGGCGTTCAATTTTCATTCATGTGACCAGTACCACCGTGTAGTCAATTGTGACCTTGCTACCTGTAACTTCGCCCAACAGAACCCAGGGCTTGATAGGGACGGACAACAAACACGCCACTTTGGTGGCGTGCGCTTGTTGCTCAGTGTGCTGTTGCCACATTGTTACACGGCTTGTCTTAGACGCGGTGGTACGTCAATTGTTGGTGGTCCGTCAATGTTGGTGGGTGTATTGCTGAGTGTGTCTTGTTAGTGCGGTGAGTTAAAGAGACGGTGTTGGTGTGTGATCAGAATATTTGTACTGCAGGAATCCGATGAGCTACAATGCTGTCTTTTTAACAGATGTCCAGTAGTTTTCGCAGATGTCCATTAGTTGACATTGTGCTTCAGGTGTGCCCTGTGCACGTGTGTATGTGCCTGTGTATTACACTACAGCCCCGTGTGCCAATCCACTGCTGGATGAGGGGCCTCAGAACGTTTGCCCTGTCATTTGTTGCCACGCTGGTAGAAGAATACGGTCAGATACGTCGATATAGTACAATACAACAATAGATTGTTACACTGCTCTATAATGTCATCGACGTAGCCTCGCAAACAACCTAAAACAATACCTTCTCTGTTTGAAGCATTGCGTTGGGGCATCCACGCGCAATTGAGGCTCACTCAGCCCGCTAAGCCTGAGAGATCTGTTCACGCGCAGTGGCAAGTGTTTGTTTTAATGTGTGTTGGAAGTTTGTGCGTCTGAACTTGCATTGGTTGTGCATCGCAATGTGCACTGTGCTTGCCTTTATCACACACCGAACAGCGCGCCTCCTGGCGATGCTTGGCATCCTGGTACATTTCAATACAGCCGTGTGCGGGCACGTTAACCCCGTGCGCCTGTTGTACGCGTGTCACTTATTCCGGGTGTGCCATTGTGTGCGGAGCAGGGTTTCGTAGCGCAGTGGTTTAGCCCACTCGGCTATGAACCCTGTAACCTGAGTTTGATTCCTGGCCATGGCTAACACCAGTATTGAATATCTATCTGAAGGTGTGGTGTGTAAACATCAGCACTGGGGAGACAAAGATGGCTTGGCGTGGTTTTGGCCACATCGCTGCTTCAAGAGCACTTGCCCCAGCCCGCTATTAACACTCTACGGGGGTGTCTTTGTCGTCTTGGCAGGTGTACGTGGCGGTGAGCATCGAGGAGCGAGCAGGGACCCCACCATGAGCGGACCCCTGGTGCTGCGGGTGCTGGCGAGCGCGGGGCGAGTGGCGGAACGAGCGGCCGAGCTGGTGCGGAGCGTCCTCCGAACCGGAGATCTCGGCATCGTCATCAAGGTGTGCACATCTGGGCTCTCCCCTGCACTCTGCAAAGTTGTCCTCGTCTCGTCCCATACACATTGTGCAGGCGATGCAACTGCACCGGGGACCACGGGAAAGAGGGGCCCAGGCGCCGGGCTGCGAATATGGAGTAATTTGGACAGGAGGCCCCATTTAACTCATTGCATCAGGGCCCATGCCACTTCCCAGACACCCTGAATGATAACAGTTGTATTGCTGTGCTCCCTCATCACGTAGCCGATCCCCCTTCCCGTGATGCAGTTGTGCAGCGTGCATATCTTTAATTTGTGCATCCATCTTTAACCGAAGGTGTCTTACTCATCTCATAGTGAAACCAAATTCACAAATCAATTAAGAAAATTATTTGGTGGTATTGCATTGGCAGTGGTGCACAAGCACAAATAAAAAAACTCAAACAGATATGTCAATTACATGTCCTTAGAAGAAAAAGGTACATAATAGGTGATGGTGCACACCTTTAATCCATCACTTAGAGGCAAAGTTTGATGGATCACCTAGCTGTATGAAACCTTCAAACCTAGTGGTATGTGAAGTTATCAGTAGATGTGCTGTGTGAACCTTTGAGCATTAGCTGTTAAGGTAGTATGTTTTTTTCAGAAACTGGAATTTCCTCCTGCATGCAAAAGTCCTTAAACGAAATTTGCCTAAATATGTTAATACAGGACCTGAATGAAACACTTATATGAACAAATAGTTTACTAGTTTCCACTTTTCTGCCAAAGTTGAAGTGATGTTGAGATGATAGATGGAAGCAAGGTATCGATGGCACTTGCCGTGATGACCTCTTCACCTTGACTTTTGCCTGTGTGCACACTGAACTCGCACACTGGATTCTCCCTGTTAGGGTGTCGGTCTTTAAGAAGTTATGTAAGTCCAGATGTTTATTTGTAGAAAAGGATTAGGTTGTCATCCCAGGACTGGGTTAGGCTCTCGGCTATTTGTCTGGGAAGATTTGGCCGAGCCATGGGGAGTGGTTGGGATTGGCGATGGGAATTGGGTTTAACCACACAGTGCACAGGTATGGTGGCCCGTAAAAAAAAGTGGCTATGCTTGCCGGCTGAAGAAACGTTTGTGCAAGCCATGACCTTGAGCCGAGCCCACATAAATTGTTGTGTTAACCCCCACTAAACCCTTGGTAATGATGACTGCGCTCATCCGCTTCGATGGGTGTGTACTGACAGCACTGACAACATGGACAACACTGATCTATGTTATTGGCTCACACGGAGCCGTCTTTTTAGGAAAATTGCTCGTAGTTGTCTTAAACGGAGCTTGCCTCTCGTTATTAGTGGTAAACGTTGGATGAGTGCCCAAGGATGGGGAGTGGTAACAGGGTTTGCGATATGGTGCGCAGGAGAATGTTAATGACCTTCAGACTAAGGCTGACCGCCTGGCTCAGCAGAGCATCTGTACCTCGCTCGCCCTCAAGTTCCCAAAGCTCACCATCATCGGCGAGGAGGTGGGTACATGTGGTGGCACGGTGTGGTGAGAGGAGTGCTTGGCGTTTGTGCAATTGCCACAAAAACGTACCTTCCATCTCTCACCCTAAACAGCCTACATTTTTGTTTTGACCTCTGAACATCTACTCACCAGATTTCCTCAAGGCTTTGCCTCTCTGGTCCTCACTAGCTTCTCACTCATTACTGATTTGCTGTGGCTGTGTACTGCTGAAACAAGTCATCTCTGTTCATTAAAACCCTATATTCCCCTAAAGCACTGGTTATGTTTGGTAAGCAAATCTGTATCTTTACAATCTTGGTCTTAACTATGGCACTTCGAATTAACCCAAAACGTTTCGATAAATTTTTAAAAATAAATTAACATGATTACATCAACAGTATTTTACAATATATTCTTGGTTCTTTCGGTAAAGTCACGTAGAAGGGAAACAATAAAATAATAAAAATATAAAACAATAAAATCCTCAAGTTTTCTGCTCTTCAGATGGTGTACCATCAGCACAATCTCTGAGCATCATGTCAGGAGATGAAGTATTTATTCAGGACTCTCACAGAGCAGTCAAATCGGCCATGTTATAGCACAGCCTGCGGGATGAGTCATCGCACAACTACTTGTGATCTCTCTATATACACCAGGGGCACTGCACATTCCCACGTGCCCTGCTATAGAGATATATGCCACATGCCAGTTGAACCGGTATTTTTAAATCCTCACAGCTGGAATGTAACGAAATTAAGTAACAACATTTTTTATATTGTTTTGTGCAGTCATTGGTGACTGGACTGAGACCATCACATCGCTACTCCTGATAATCCGTTTTAACCACAAAGGGACTCAGCGGTACCAGCTCGGTACTCTGACCCTGAGCCCACGCGGCCGCTTCTCCTTGCTTGGTGTTTAACAGTGCCACTTGTCGTTCCCAGGACTTGCCACCTGGAGAGGTGGATGCGCAGATGGTGGAGGATGGATTCATGGAGGAGATCCTGGGACACAAGTGTCCGGCGGAGTACGAGAACGTGAAGGAGGAGGAGGTGTGTATGGCATGCAAGCAGGTGGCAGTTAATCAGCGTTCACGTTTTCCCACCGCACCGGTTATCAACTAGCTGATGAATAAGCGCCTGATAAAGAGGCAGCTAGTTGAGAAGTCACCTCTATAGCCATTTCTGGAAGACATGCACGTTCACTACTTTGTTGTGTCCGAATAAAATCTGACAAGCGATATCCTCTATGAAGAGTATGGGCTCTTGCCATGCAATAAACATGTTGTATAACACATGTTCTGTCACTCAACAAAGTGCGTCGATGATTCTTCTTACTATTCATAAAATGGAATGTATTAAGCAAGAGGCGTTGTAATTTTTATTGAGTGTCACAATTAATGTGTATTGTCTGATAAGCATCAAAACCCACCATTCGACATCATAAGTAGACTGACAGTTCTGGTACGATGATGTGGAGTACAGTATCCCCTCGTTATTCACAAGGGATACATTTTGGAAACGCTCATGAATAGCAAACTTCACAGATAATATTGGCCTACGAATATCGTACATGCAATGTCTGCAGATGCTTATAAATCTGAGAATTTCTCTCTATCTCTCACATCACTTTATCTTATTACTTTATCTCATCATTTTCTCGCATCACATTCTCTGTCATTACTTTATCTCATCACTTTCTCTCTCTCTCGGTGCAGTCTTATAGAGTTCCAGATGCGTTTCGCGGATAGCAAGTTTGTGAAGAGCAAAGGAATACTGTACCACAAAATTGCTTGTGGTTGCCACACAGTGATCATTAAAACAGAACCTGATGCTTATTTTCACAGCTCGTGGTTTGGGTTGACCCTCTCGATGGCACAAAGGAATACACTGAAGGTGGTTTATTTTCTTTCTTTCCTTACACTCCGCACTTGCCCCGTTTAGATTTTTGTTTGTCATGTGACATCACAGCTGCTTTTCACCACAGCTGATCCTCATCCACTCTTCCCATCGACAGGGCTCCTCGACAATGTGACGGTGCTCATCGGCATCGCCTACAAGGGAAAGGCGATTGCTGGAGTAATTAACCAGCCGTTTTTCAACTACCAGGTTTGTGGTTTTTATCTCGTGCATTTAAAATATGAAATGCACATGAACATATTACGGTGACCTCCGTGCTTTCTCATTTCACTTGATCCACGAAAACACATTGAATATTTTAGATATTTTATATATATTTTTTTACATTTGTGAATTTAAAGGTTTTTTTTGCACATTAATTCCCCTCTGAAATAGTTTAAACCCCCTGTGTGCTTGCGTATGCCGCAGGCGGGCGAGGGTGCCACGCTGGGTCGCACAGTGTGGGGGCTGCTGGGCCTTGGAGCTTTTGGATATGTTCCCGCATCGGTACCCGCGGGTAAGCGCGTCATCACCACGACGCGCTCGCATAGCAACCCCGTGGTGAGCGCCTGTGTGGACGCAATGGAGCCCACCGATGTTCTGCGGGTCGGAGGCGCCGGCAACAAGGTGCGCATGGGCATCGGAGTTTGATGGCCGTAACGTGCGGTGAGGTCAACCTGACCACGAGTGTCATGCCCCCTGTTAAATATTCAATAATGAACAGGTCTTTGTCAATTGTCATTGCTGAATCAAGGCTTCCCCATGCCGTGTCGGCCACGGTGTTTATTTGACGACACTTCGATTGCATCAGAAGGTTTTGAAGTACATTTATTTTTGCTACTAACAATGCAATACAATGTGGATTTATACAGAATGAGCACATCTGGATCAATATTTGCTTAAACTGCAGCTGGGGCAGTCATGGGAGTGAGAACATAGTTGGCAGGGGAGACAGTGTGTTGATCTTTGTGACCCACGCCTTGGCGTGGGTCACAAACCAACTTTGCATGCGACGGTGAAAATGTCACGCGACTCTGTCACCCCAGGTTCTGCTCCTGATTGAGGGGAAGGCGTCGGCCTACGTGTTCGCTAGCCTCGGCTGCAAGAAGTGGGACACGTGTGCTCCGGAAGCCATTCTGCATGCTGTGGGAGGTGCGGACTTATACACTCGAATAGTAAAACGAACACTAATGACCAGAAGCATTGCTGTAAAAATCGTCTGTGCATGTTGAAGAAGAACATCCAAAAAACCCACGAAACAATCAGTTCTTGAAGCAAATCACTAGCCCCAAATTGTGACAATTCTTTGAATTGCTATTGGGAGGGAAAGCTCGGGGGTCTGGTGCAGAGGGGTGGGGTAATTACATGACTAAAGAACATATTTATTATTGTAACTTGGTGATAGTTGTTATTTTTGTATTGATGGTAAGCGTGTTGGTGCTGCTCGCGTGTCTGCATGTAGGAAAGCTGACGGACATGCACGGCAACTCCTTTGAGTACCACAAGGAGGTGAAGCACATGAACTCAGCAGGGGTGCTGGCAGCGCTCACAGACTACGAGTACTATGCGGCGCGCGTGCCGCCCACCACAAAGGCCGCGTTGAAGCCCTGACATTGCCGCGCGAGACGCAGTTTTTATGGTGACACTACACCTCCTACGCTGAATGTCGCACAGTTACATGGCAGCTGACACCACCCAGCCGCGAGAGCAGCTTGGCACGTAAAGTGAACTTGCGTTGATGAGCTCTCTGATTAATGTGAAAACGTTGCATCTAATTTCGGTTTAACTCTTGCTCGAATAAGTGGTATTTATTCAAGCTAGAAAATATTTGTCAAATCTTTGAGATGAAGAAACGCATACCTCGTTGCAAAAGAAAAAAAAATGTGTGCAAGACCAGGCCTTCATTTTTTTCCGAATGCATAAGGTAAAATATGTAATTGTATAGGTACAGTAGTTTCTCATATCTATTTAAAAATCCAGTGTGCAATGCACTCGATCATTTGGAATATATTTATGCTACAAGCCTGGCGGGATGTTACTTTATGCATTTTTCCAAGTTTTGTCAGCGTGAGACAGGTGTGCTTCTTAATCTGTGCGACCTGGATGCCCAAGTATGGCCTTTGAACCACTGCATTTTGACCAGTCATACGTTTCAGTCATACATGTAAATTTAAGCTCATTATACAAGCAGTACATTGTGTAGGAATCTATTGTTTCTATGCATATGCATTTTGATTGGATCACAATAGCAAAACTAATTTTGATCCTGAATCGCAACAATCCATCTTATTCATTGATAGAATTGTTGAGTGGTAAATTGTTATCTGGATTTTTACCAACCTGATCTCACGTTTTACACAAACCTGGCCATACAATTCACTCGTTTTGAATTGCGGGTCTTGGTAAGTTACTGTTTATTGCATTCGTGTTTAAGAAAGTTCAATGTATTGTATTACAAACTGTTTTGGTGGTTGTGATATTTGTAATCATTGGCAATGCTATTATTGTAATTGTTAATTTAGTGAAGTTGTTACGAGTTTGTTGGTGAGCTTGGTTTGAAGAAGTCTCAAAATTCTATTATAAACTTTCAGGAACCATTTAAGGTTAAGCCATACAGGTGTCTTCACAAGCCAATTGCTTAAGTTTAACAATCGTAAATGTAAAAAAAAGATGCATCTGTTAATTTTCACATGATTAGAACTATATTGGAATTTTGGTGAACACATCGAATGTGTTCAATTAATTAATTATAAAACCATATTGATTTTCAATCTACATTAAATGCTTGAGGTAAAGAGTGGACCAATGTGTTAACGAGAATGAATTGTGGGATTGTGAAAATTGATGTTGGTGCAAAAATAAAGTTGAAAATGCATTTTAAAACGGCATTTCAAATAATGTGTGTGTGTTTGAAGAAACGACGGTGAGGAGAAATTGACTTGTCCGTTCTAAAACTTTATCGCCACACAGTGTACAAAATGTGTCCTAACGAGACCCTGGGTGGCGTTCTGCACACATTACTCGGATTGCATCACTGGATTCTTCACAATGCATAACCATTGTGACTTTTAATCGCGAAATTACTTGAATTTAGGGCAATAACCAGCTGAGTTCACTCCCAATATGGGACTCTGTTTGGCCGTCTCCTGAGGTTCAGCGAGGCTTTCTCGATTACACTGGACATTTTTTCTCAACGTAAAGCCGTGAGCGATGGCTACATTATGGACAGGTCTTCGGCAATTAAGCCATGAAATTGACCGATGGTAATGGTAATTCGTATGCAAGTTGTGCAAAGCAAATTCTGCCGTCGACCATTTCAAGGTGGTCCCCCAGTTAGAAAGATTCGCATTTTCTCTTCCAGGGAGCTCAGTGGGTTTAATTACCTGCAGACAGTTTCATTAAACACCTTCAGTTAACTTTATAATTCGTGTCACTGAAAGACAAGTACATGGTAAAGAACAAAATCACGTTAGACGATTTTTTTTGTCTGTAACCGGCCACGGAACGTTAAAGGCCACAATGGTGATTGGCACGTTTGTTCACGTGATATTAATTGGCTGCCGGGTGGAGGGTGCACGACACATTCATGCGATCTGACCCCAAAATCAATTAGGAATCCATAATACTGCTGCTTTTTTGGGATCAGATCGCGTGAATGTGTCGTTAAACCCGCCACCACCCGACACAGCCAGTTAGTAACCATTTAAATTGCGAATAATTTGTCGCGAACGCCTACGTGTTAAGGTAAACTGTATTATTGTTTAACCCTGCACAGGTTAATCGCAGCCGCGTCTCCAGTCGACGGTAGATTCATCAATCCGCTAGGGTACACATTACACGTGCATTGCGCTGTTGCAACGATCGTGAAATCGTCGTTGTTGGTGGGCGGTGGATTGCATCATGACACGTTTGTGACAAGGTGTGACGAGATATGTGACGTCACATCAAAATGCGCAACTTTAAATAAATATAGACAACACGTTCTACTTAATTAAATAGACTTTTTATAAAATGTTTTCTCCTACAACATCAGAGTGCAGCGCCACATTAAATACGCACTACAATGACAATAGTTTAAAGCGATTTCAAGCATGTTTTATTTTCAAAATGGAAATGTGTTTTTTTTTGGGGGGGAGGGTAAAGCTTTGTGACGTCATATTTGAGAAGGGGGGGTCTAACTTTTTGTGACGCCGTGTGACGAGCGCGGGGGGGAGGTAAAAAAAATCGTCCAAAATCGCGTGACGTCATTTATGGACGGCCCCTTACCACCTGGTGGTTGCGGTTAACAAACTTTAGCGGCGATAATCCCATTGGCCATCTTGGTAAAGGAGAGAACTCGTCGGGGGTGGGGGGGGGCAGCCTCAACCCACTCAGCTCCACGCCCCGCGCGTCACTAACGCAGTCGCAGCAGCAGCACGTGCGCGGGTGGAAGAAGTCTCCCTAAAACTCGATTTGTGTGCTTTCGTGACTGCAGGAATTAATTATTATTTTGGTTCTTTCGGTACAGTCACGTATAAATAGAAAATAATAAGTTACATGAGAACATACACGACGTTTCGATTGCATAAGCAAGCAATCATCATCAGGTACAAATGAAAGAGAAACACACCTAGTAAATTCTAGATTTGAAGCTTTCGTGACTGCAAGGATCCATAAAAGTAAAAGTATAAAACAAGAAAAAATAAAAATAACTTAGAAATATAATGCAACACAGCGCAGAAAGTCGGCTGACACAACAGCCAACACCCTACCTGGTTGATTAACGTCCAAGAGAGAGAGACAAGCCACAGATTGCTTGCTTTGCAATCGAAACGTCGTGTATGTTATTATGTAATTTATTATTTTCTATTTGTACGTGAACCAAAGAATAAGTCTCCCTACCCAAGATGGCCGCCGAGAATTCGTCTCACAAAAGTGACGTATGACGGGGGGGTGGGGGGGGAGGAGGTCCCTTCTCGTCAGGGTCTTTACAACGTGGCCCGGGCCTGCGACAGCGGAGGAGGTGGACGAGGAGGAGGCGGCGGCGGCTTCATTGAAGAACTCCCTTCTTGTGGCTCGTCGTGGCCCTTTGATCGTGCAGCCATGCAACTGAAGCTCGCGGTGAACGAGGCGAGCCCGCCTGCCGGTGAGTAGCCTCTGAGCCCCACGGGTTTTGTGACGGGTTGATCGGTAGGGTGGGAAGAAGTGTGGTGGTGGTGGGGGGGGGGAGACATCACAGCTGTCAGTGTTCTTATTGACATGGTTATTGTTAGTGCACCCGGGCCTCATAGTTGGTCACTTCATTTTAAAAATATATATATCGTCATCGGCAGCATCGTCGGCTTCGTCATGACGTGCTCAGCAGTACCGGCAGCAGCTGGTACCGTCGCTGCTAAAGTCGGCATTAGCGAGGCCATCTATAACATCTTTATGATGATTACGAAATACGATTATGACTAAGGGACTGTACATAAATGACGTCACGCGATTTTGGACGATTTTTGACCCCCCCCCCCTCGTCACACGGCGTCACAAAAAGCCAGACCCCCCCTCAAATATGACGTCACAAAGCTTCCCCCCCCCCCAAAACCATATATTTTTTTAAATAAAACATGCTTTAAATCGCGTATTTAATGTGCCGCAGCACTCTATATGTTGTAGGAGAAAACATTTAATTAAGTATATTTAAAATTGCGCATTTTGATGTGACGTCACATTTCTCACCCCCCCCCCCCTTCGTCACAAATGTAAATGTCTGACCCCCCCCCCCCCCTGGGTGCGTGACGTCATTTATGGCCATGTTCATTTAATACCACTGTCCCATCAGAGCTACCATCATCAAAACCGCTGTCACCATCAATTTACCATGAAATAATGTATCCTGCATTTAACTCTATACAGTATTTAACACTGTTTATTTGAGAATCACTAAGATTAGTGCAGCAACAACAACGGGATCACGCTTTGCACTAAAGCCTTCATAGAGCAAGCTGTGACATGGCATTGAAGTTAATTTTCGCATGGAGGTATAATAAGCGTCGTATTTAAAATGATAAATAGTTTCAACACTTAAGGGAACAAACCTGCTGAAGCCTGATTGTTCAGCTTATAAACTACACAGAAACTCAACTTCCTTGTGTGGCTACGTGGAAACAAAATTACTTCTCAGCCAAACAGTTTCTTAAATAAATTGGCAATATCATCCAGCAGCTTTTTTTGTTGTTAAAGCAAACTCTGAACCGGTTTCTACTTTCCTACTCTTCATCATTCCTGGTCATCACCAAATTCAGGGCTTGGTTTAAAAAAAAAACAAATCTTAGATTGCCGGCTGTTATTGACAATTAGCAACTCCGTATAAACTATGGGACCCCCCGCCCGCCCGCCCGCCTGCGACCCTCTCAACGCACAAAGCAACGAATGTGTTGTTTAATTGTGTTGTTGCTCAACCGATGGTGTTTCATGGTCCAACTGGAGGTAGCATGCTCCCCCAGCACTGCATGAATGGGCCAATAAATTGTAAAAAAATTGCCGCTGTACAGCATCTTAAATGCCAACCTAAGGGTCACCAAACATGAACCCCGCTCACTTCCTCTCCTCCAGTGGGCATTGATGTTTTAAGAGCATTCATTAGGGCATATAGGTCCTCCCTCTCAATTGTTACCTTTCTCCTACAGGGGTATCAAGAGCTTAGGAAGACACCAACGTTGTAGAGTTTATTGAAACAGTTTATTGAAACATGCGGTTTAGACAGGTTTCCATTGGACCGTAATCCGTAAAGTTTATGTGCTGGTGTCAATCTCCTTTCATATCCTCCGTGTGTGTACCTGAAACGTCTTGTTAAAAAAATACTTTTGGGGGAGAAAAAGAACCCAATACAGGACGCTGAGCCACTTGGGTGAATTCCTGTCCGTCGATGAGTGGAGGCGGCTCCCGAGGTTGCTGCTGCTGCACCACAGACCATGGGACACTGCCATTTGATGGGCTATGCAATTGTGAAGGATTTGGCGTTGCCGGTTTTAGGGAATTCATCTAAAAGACAAGACGTTTGTCACTCACGACCGTTCCTTTTGAAAGCGATGATCATCAGTTCTTAGGCATGTAACTTGAGAAAACTTAACAGCCGTGCCCCGTTTCTGCAGAGAAGTGAACCATTGTGGCCACACATGCATTTGGACTGTTTCCTCAAACTACAGTGTAAGGGTACATTCATAAACAGCTGACCAGAGTAAAACACGTCGTTGTAAGTTTGTGTGAATTGTGTTGCTATGCACGTGCGTGCTTTGAACATGGCACCGTAAACTCAGAACCTACCATTTTCAATTCGACACTATGAAATGTACGTCACTTTGACCTTTGGCCTGTCTATGTGATGTGAAGAAAAGGGCCATTGCCCGAAACGTCGTCTAGAATATACTTTTCCATTTAAGGCAAAGTTGACCGATGTGATGAGTAGTTTTTATTATTTGTGCGCGTGCACCACTGCTAACACAGCACCATCACCAAATTATACATTAAATTGGCCCAGTGACTGATAACGATGTATTCCTTTTAAGCCCCATTTCTGTACTTTGTAGTACAGTGCATCATAACAGTACAGGACTGTAATAATTAGGTTTAAAAGTATCCCAATAATAGTTGGGCTTACACCATCGCTCAATTATATATTATAAATAATTGAACATACCTTGACAATATTTAATATTTGCTATTAAATATTTTGAAGTCGTGAAGTTGGTTGTCTTAACGATGCAGGCTGCTTTTGCATACGCCTGTGCACGTATATTATAGAAAAGTTTTGTAGTCAGTTATCCAGGAATACCTCGTGGGGTTTCAAACCTTGGAGTGTGCTGCTAAGATTGTTTCACCAAAGTTTTGCTCAAATACACAAAAATGTCAAACGTCTTCATTGCCAAAACAGCAGTGCAGCATTATTTTCATGTTGAGATTACATCATCATTCTTGTGCCTCATCTGCTGCCTGTCGATCACTCGGTCTTTGCGTGCTGTCGTTTGTGAACTCAAGGCGTGTTGGTGGCTGTTGAGCAAGTGAAGGACTCCTTGCTCATTGCAGTGGTGCGAGGACAGGAAACGAGCCTCCGGGTGTCCGAGTAAGTTTCCAGGATTAAAACAAAGACAAGCAGGGCAATTAATATGGGATGTGTAGCAGGGAGGGGAGGCAGGGGAGGCAGAGCCTCACCTGTAATACTCCAATGAAAATTGCTGTTACGAAAAGTAAAACAAAAATAACATTTAAGATTTTTCCACTGATCTGTGTTATAAATGTAATTTATGTATGATTCCAATGATTTTTATAATCAAAATATGTCACCAATGTAATCATTACAGAGAGATAGTAACAGGCACGCGCTTGTTGCCCGCACTCCAGTTTCTGAGGGGTTGCACAATCAGAGAGGAGGCTGAGCTTGACGCTGCCTCACCTCGTCTCCCTGTATTTGCAGCGGAGCTCCGCAAATTTGGCGATTTTGACGATAAAAATGATTGGAATCATACAGAAATGACAATGCATAAGATCAGTGTAAAAATCTAAAAAAATTGAAAATGTATTTTTACTTTTAATCGGTTTCATTCATTCGTCACTGGTTAAGTCCTAAAGCAGAGAATGCACAAATTAAATGTTTCCCAAATATAAGTGAGGTAATGTCATGCCTTTGCAGATCTTTCTAATGGTTATCTTCTAGGTAAAATAACATTTTCCCAGTGTATATAGCTGGTTGGTTGTGTCATCAAGTTAGGACATCCACCAGTCCACTGGTGGATGAAGGCCTCATGCCATATCGGTTGTGGGGGTTGCTTGATCATGCTTGGCTATGCTAATTAGTGCCGGTTGTTGAAGGGTGGTCCAGGACCAGTTCGGATATCACTCGCCACTTATTTTAACTGACTGCAAATTGAACTCAAGTTGCTGGGTTCATAGAGCAGTGTTGTACTGTTCCACCCCAAATATAATGCATTCTATGGAAAAATTATGGTCCTTAGTTATACAATTAGATTGTAATTCACTGTAGCAGTGGCATTGTGGGTGGTTTACATTTGAGGGAAGGTAATGAAGTGAATGTGTCTATCCAGCGCAATCACAAGATGAGTTGCCACCTGAGCTCCATACAAAATGTTAGCTCCGCACCCACGTTGATCAATATTGATTGAAACAAACACATGAGTGACCAAAATGTGCGTTTTCTTGGCAGGAGCGTGACGTTCAACGACCCCAACTCCATCTGCCGGTTCATCGCACGTCAGAGCCCTAGCCATGGGCTGTATGGGGCAAACCTCCTGGAACAAACAGAGGTAACTGCAGCGTCTACAATTGCCCAGTCAGTAACCTGTGATGCTAATATTCCGATTAGCTCGGTTGGCTATGTACGGTGCGAAATAATTTCAACGTACAGTATAATGTTGATTTGAAGCTTTCGTGACTGCAGAAATCCATACTCTTTGGTTCTTTCGGTAAAGTCACGTAATTAGAAATAAAATCAAATAAAACAAATCACGGCGTTTCGATCGCAGCACAAGCGGCCGTCATCAAGCAAAAAGGCCGTATAATGAATCGAACAAAACTGTATAAACGAGATATAAATATCCAAGAAACAATACAAATGAAATGGCAAAGATTAGGCAAAAAAATTATCTGTTTTAAAGTGAAACTGCATCACCACATAATGATAATCCATTAAATCCTGGCATTTCATAGAATCGCAAAATTAATCAAATTGTGGAAATTCATCGACTCGTTGGGGGCCAGGGAGGGGGGGGGGTGTGAATTATTACACGTGCACTCTGTGTAAGTAGCTTGACAAGTGCTTGTGCCGGTCGCTGTGTGCAGGTCGACCACTGGCTGGAGTTTGGCGCCACCACGCTCTGCGGCACCACCTCGTTTTCGGCCGCTGTGCAGCAGCTGGATGAGAGCCTGGCACTGCGAACGTTCCTCGTCGGGCATGCCCTCTCACTGGCCGACATCAGTGTGTGGGCCGCGTTGAAAGGTGTGCGATACTGGCACGCCGTTGTTTTAGCTTTACATATGTCCAAGGGCGTCGGTAAACAATATACAGTTTACACATGAATTCCCAGCCCAGAAACAACACATTCATTTTAATATCCAATTGTTTATGAGTGAGCCGGGATAAATAACACCACTGCAACAAGGCTCCTGAAAAAAATACACAGCTGCCACGTCGACTTGTTTTAGTCCAATGGAGATGAAAAACAGGATTTGTGGAGGGGGCTATAGATGCTGCCGAGTCTGCGAGCGTGGCTCAGTGTTGGTCATTTTCTGTTCGTAAAAAAAATAACAAGAGCTTTAACACTTCGCCTCTCATCCTGGCTCTGTCCTGTGGCAGGCAACAACATGTGGCAGGTGATGCTGGATCAGAAGAAGGCGCCCACGCACGTGGCACGCTGGTTTGCCTTTCTATCTGCCAACGCAACCTTCCAGGCCGTCTCCAAGGAGTGGAACCTCAAGGGCTGCGTACCCACTGCTGCTGCTACCACCAGCGCCTCTGCCGCCCCGGGAGTGAGTAGTAGTGGTTGTTGGTAGTAGCACAGTTATTTTGTTGTTCCACAGCTAGATGAAGATCTTTCTGACCATGTTTCACCAGACTGGTCAGTGTGGGTTGGTGACGGTTGGGAGCACAAACGTGAGAGCATAGAAGTACTGTGATCGACAACATTTGCTGCACTGCCCTGTGCTTCTAACGACGTATTCCTGCAGCCTATAACGTCTGTTATGCCTGGTGCTCACCTATCTCAGTACTCTATAGTCTCAATCCTATTCTTTGGGTCTTTCGGTAAAGTCACGGAGATAGGTTCACAGAAAATAAAAATAAACTACGACGTTTCGATCACAACACAAACGTAGTTTTTTTGTTATTTTCTTTGAACCTATCTACGTGACTTTACCAAAAGACCCAAAGAATATGAATTCCTGCAGTAATGAAAGCTTTAAGGCTCAATCCTATTTTTCTTCCGTGATCTGATGATATCAGGTGCATTCAGGGTAATTTGAAGTTATTGTGTCTGCGAAATTCACAATTATGTCTTCTTCCGTAGGCTGAAACGGCAGGGCACCTAACGCCTTGGCAACTTCAGGATATGTACAGTAGATGCAGGGGGTAGAGTGTTCGCGCAATAGTGAATGCTTTGCACTGTGAACCCAGTGAACTGGCCACGGCTAACACTAATGGTAAGTGACTTAAGAACCTTGGTCCTGGGCACCCCTTCACAAATCTGCACTGATCAGTATGGTGAAGCATGGCAAGAAACCGCCTTGAGTGGAAGGTGGGGGGGGGGGGCTTCATCCAGCAGTGGATTGAAAAGAGGGCTGTAAATATGCTCTGATTGTCCGGGACATTTGGTCGATGTGATGTGTAAGGAGGCTGCTTCACGGTGACTGTCGATTTACAGGGGAAGGAGAAGAAGGAGGACGTGGGCAAGTTTGTGGAGCTCCCGGGCGCTGAGATGGGCAAGGTGGTCGTGAGGTTTCCTCCGGAGGCCAGCGGGTATGAACGCATCATAATTAATTTTCACATATAATCATGACCACGACCGTTGCCATCATTACCATCATGATCAGCATAGCCATGTTCATAAGCATCATCATCATGATAATTTTCTTTAGGATCATCATCATCATGAACATCAACATGATAACCGTCATAATGTTATGATGATCACTATCATTCTGAACATCCTCAACACCATCATTTACGTTCTTAAGTAAAATGCCTCTCAGCTTTGCGAGTGATGGAGGTTGTGCTTCTTGTGCCTGCGAGTGCATACGCTGTGGGTTTGCCTCGGCAGGTTCCTGCACATTGGCCATGCCAAGGCCGCCCTCCTCAACCAGTACTACCAGCTGATGTTCAACGGCAAGCTCATCATGCGCTTTGACGACACCAACCCCGCCAAGGAGAAGGAGGACTTTGAGAAGGTTGGAGTGGTCACTTGACATAATAAATTTTTGGCATTTAACGATTCACTCGCCTGCTGCAGTTTAATTGATTCCCACAGTTCTGGGTCATAAATCAATCATGATTTTTTTCAATAATGTTTTTTACCGTCTCGTTTCTGTGTTGATTTTTTTTCCCCCTATCATTTATAGTCTCCTTCTCCCATTCACCTAAATGGATTGTGTTTGCATAAATAATGAAGAGTTGATTCTTGTATGCACAATTCTACGCATTAATTGAGAGTAAAATCATGTGCTTTAATTAATTATTAATTGTTACATGCCCATTCATTTCTTTCCCTACCTTCTACTCGGTCTATGCAACTTCTCGGTGAAAAGCCATGAAGTTAGGGTTTAGCATTTGGGTAAAAGTTTTGCTAAAGGATTCAATGTTGGGGTTAAACTTACCATTACGTTTCGGGCTATTAGGAGCACGACATAGATGGGTGCTGTGGGTCTCGTTGGTGTATGGGTCCTGGTCTATGGCCTGCTGAGGATGCTCTAGGACTCATTGGTGCTGCCCTGGTTGCCCCGGCTGTCCCTAGGACTCGTTGTTAGTGCTCAAGCCTGGTTGCTTGGTTCTGGGCTGTGTTGCTCTCTCTCTCTCCCTCCCGTGTTTCCCTCCATTGACCACCCCCCCGCCCCCCATCCTACTTCCTTTCTACCAAAATATGTATTTTTTTGTTGAGCGCCTTGAGATGCAGTTGACTTATCAACTCAAATTGCTGCTGTTGTTGTTCTCTCCTGCTCCGTGGCCACCAGGTGATTCTGGAGGACGTGGCAATGCTGAAGATCAAGCCCGACCTGTTCACCTACACGTCGGACCACTTTGACCTGATCGCCACGTACGCCGAGAAGCTGATCAAGGAGGGCAAGGCGTACGTGGATGACACGCCGGCCGAACTCATGAAGCAGGAGCGGGAGCAGCGCATTGAGTCCAAAAACAGGAGCAACTGTGAGATTTGCCGCCTCTATCACAGTGCAGAATAAAACAGTAATAATGTCGTCACCTAGTCTCACAACTCGGTCTTGTGTGGGGATGTTAGGCCAATTGAGGGGTATCCTTGGAAAAAATGTGATAACCCATATATATGTGACTTAAAGCTTTCGTGACTGCAGGAATTCATATTCTTTGGGTCTTTCGGTAAAGTCATGTAGATAGGTTCAACGAAAATAACAAAAAACTCTGACGTTTCGATCGCAACACAAACGTTCGTCATCAGGATGCGATCGAAACATCGTAGTTTTTTGTTATTTTCTTTGAACCTATCTACGTGACTTTACCGAAAGACCCAAAGAATACCATATATATGTGTTTAAGATAGCTTCATTGGAATACTTTACAATGAACTTTTTTTTATTTCACTTACTCCACCTATTCTCACAAAAGGCTGGTTTCTTTCACCCCTAGCAAATACGTCCCACGTGATGTAGAGATCGCTGATTAACATTAACATCTCCTGCCTCATTTAAATTAATATCCTCTATTATAATTTTCATCGTCATGGCGTTTGTACCTCTGGAGTGGTGGTGACGACGGCAGTGGTGTTGTCTGTGCAGCGGTGGAGAAGAATTTTCAGCTGTGGGAGGAGATGAAGAAGGGCTCAGAGCTGGGGCAGACATGCTGCCTGCGCGCCAAGATCGACATGAACTCCAACAACGGCTGCATGCGCGACCCCACTCTCTACCGCTGCAAGAACGAACCGCACCCACGTACTGGGAGCAAGTACAGGTGAGCCCTGTCTCTCTACCAGTAATTAGTTTAATAAAGCAATACAGTAAGTGATCCACAAGAATCCTAAATATTATAGAAACATTAATCAATAATAACAGTTCGCCATTAACAATTAAGCACATTCTGGAGAGTGGATTCAAATACTAAGAAAAACGAGTCGTGCGGTTAGGTTCTACAGTGGCGATGCGCTATCTCTCCGTCCGTAAGAACTACCTCGCCGCCCCATCTACCCCACCCCCCCCCCCCCCGCCGCAGAGTCTACCCGACGTACGACTTTGCGTGCCCCATCGTGGATAGCGTGGAGAACGTGACGCACGCACTGCGCACCACCGAGTACCACGATCGCGACGACCAGTTCTACTGGGTGATCGAGTCGCTCGGCCTGCGGCGCCCGTACGTGTGGGCGTACGCGCGCCTCAACCTCATGAACACCGTGCTGTCCAAGCGCAAGCTCACCTGGTTCGTGGAGGAGGGACTCGTGGAGGGCTGGTGAGTGATTGTCGTCGCCTTGTTTCCCCGCGGTGCTTATTCAACGACTCAATCATTTGCTCATCTGCTGATCAACCGATTCTGTCAAGGTAGATTTGTCAAGAGTTGCGATTTTTCCATAGCAAGTCATCATTGTTGTTATCATCATCATCATCGTCATCATAATCCCACTTCTATCATAATTATAATTTACAGTCGTTTGTTAATGTATTGCTGGATAAAGGCCTCCCCACACCATGCTGGTCATTAGAGTAGTTTGATCACACTACCCCACGTTGGTCAGTGCGAGTTGGTGAAGTGGAGTAGGGAGTGCCCAGGACTTGTTTGAATCAATCTCAGGTCACTGGATTTATAACACAGTGCGCGAACCACTGCACTACCCCTTCCCCAAATCATATATTTATTTCCTAACTTCACTTTTCCTTATTACCCCAGAATGTGTGTGTCCCACAATTTTTTAAACTAATTGTTGAGATGCGGTTGCATTTTAGATATGATATACTGTAAATTCAATTTCCGACGGCCAAATTGCCTGGAATGCATCCAATCTCGAGGCTTGGCCTGGAAAGTGCTCATAGGAGTTCGCTCCATTCATCCTTACAGGTGTTGTACACTGCTGCAGGGCTACGTTGTGGACAGCAGAGGGCATTGCAGAAAAATCCATTGTACTGTACTTTACTCAAACATGCTCCCTACCTTCCTCAACCCCTTCTTCGTCTTCACTCATATGGTGGATGTAGATGCAGAGCAAAAATTACAATTTCACATTCAGGTGGTAAAGCCAGATAACCGCAACAGGAGTAATGGAGTGTATCGCTGTAATGTCTCCTTCCTATGTGTAGATCAGGCATTGTGTCATGTTGTTTGGCCTGTACCAACCCCGACTGACCAGCATATTTAAGTACGATCAAATAACCCCACAGTGTGGGAAGGGCCTCATCCAGCAGTGCATCTATAAAATACTTTAAAGGCTACATTGAGTTTTTCAGTACAGACTATTGCGTCACACTGTTCTGCTACTACACGTATTGCCAAACAATGTTACAATGGTACTTGTACGTCAATCCAAAGTGTTATTGTTACTGTTGCGGAAGGATGATTTGATGCGATTGTCCCACCCAGGGATGACCCTCGCTTCCCGACCGTGCGGGGCGTGCTCAGGAGAGGCCTCACCGTGGAGGGCCTGAAGCAGTTCATTGCCGCCCAGGTACCAAACGCGACACGCCTTGCGTTGTCACATGACGTGCTGCATGGAGCATTATGCGGACAACCTCGTCTGCATCACCGCGTGCGCCAGACCTGACACGCTTATATAAAGTTTCCTTCTTTGCAAAGTATTTTAGAATATGGCGCTGCCTGGCTAAGGTGTGTCCACATCTTCAGCTGTTTGCCCTTTACATGTAACCTTAAAACCCATTTGTTATGGTCATATTAGTGTTTTAAAAGGGTTTTTTTGGGAAGTATTTCTAACTTATGTTCTTTAAATGCATATTACATTTGGCTTCATTAATAACTTATTTTGGATAAATGTTCAATTATTTTATGAAAAGTAAATTTGCTAAATGAGGCACAATACGGATTTATCAACAAAATGAAATTACAAGACTACCGTTTGTTAGTCCAGTTGTTGAAATCGATTTGTCGTCGTGCCGGTCATGCCAGGTCCGATGCAAGTCCACTGCTTTTGTGTTCACCGCACGTTGTGATTCATCTTTTACCCGCAGGGTTCCTCCCGTTCGGTCGTGAACATGGAATGGGACAAAATCTGGGCGTTTAACAAGAAGGTGGGTAACGCCTGCTTTTGCCCAAAAACGCCAGAGGGTGGGAAACCCCCTTTTAAACGCCACATGGTGGAATGCGTTTGTGTGTGCTCTCCATCTGATCACCCCTTCACTGACGTCATCGCCACGCGGAATATGCCAACTTTTCCTGCTTGTTCTATTCTCATTGTTTGGAGCAGGGTGTTATGCAACTTCACTTAACTTAACGTCGGTATTGATTGCCACATTACACGATCCTAAACCCATCAGACAGACTGTTAAGAAGAGCAGAAGGGGTTGGGCAGGACACTTTTCTTGACCGAAAGGTGGTTGGGGATTGAAAATATTGACCCAGCGGCAGCTGAAGGAGGGGACATACACAAAAGGACATCTACTGCAGAGATGGAGCAGTTAAATCAGCTTGTGTGCAGAAGCTAGAGATGGTGATGGCTTGAGGAGACCTTCATCCAGCAGTTGATTTCTCTTGTATGATAATGAACATTACAGGGTCTTGGTACGTTCAGTGCCGATTTGGGGAAAAAGTACAATGCATCACGATATGGCATCCATAGATAATCAGAGGGATTCCTGTAATGTTAAGAAAGTTCATCTGCCTTCTGTGAGCAACTAAGGGAAGCTGAAAATCCTCATCGTGTGTGGGAGTCCCTTCCGGTTTTTCGAGGGCTGACGTGCGACCTGGTGTGCGTGCAGGTGATCGACCCAATCGCCCCGCGCTACACAGCGCTGCAGAAGGAGGGCGCTGTACCCGTTCTTGTGGCCGGGGCCCAGGAGGAGCAAAAGGATGCTGCCAAACACCCCAAGGTAAAAAAACCTGTATTGTGGATGTGATATTGGTCGCGAAAGCCTACATGTTAAACCACCCCAAGGTAAGATGGACACCCCTCACCTGCACCACTGTTGGCTACAGTCACATAGGCTAAATGTTAAATGAACCACGTGGCTTTACACTTATTTTTCATGTTACAGAAGCATGCCGCCTCTCTCCTTGACTGGCTGGTGGTGTTGGGGTTGGTGTTTGCCGTTTTTGCCCGAAATACTCTCCTATTATACAACAAATGCAACTTGCTTTGGCAACGTGGTATGAGTGAGAAGAGTTCTGTAACTTCAATTAAACCTGAGTTTGTTACGAAGTGATGTGGTGCACAGTGATTGGTCCACATAGCACGCAACAACATTGGGTAGTTACATAACCTCTGTCATCGGAGTGGACGTTGCTGTTCCAGTTGCCTATTATAGGGAGAGTAACACATGTGTCCAGATCCGGGCAACTACATTAACCATGGTTGAAAATGCCACTGCTGGCTCCAATTGCCCTGAAATTGAGCGAGCAAACCCGTGACCTTCTGGGATTGCGTGCGCTGCCGGCAGAACGTCGCGGTCGGCGTGAAGGCCGTGTGGTACGGGCCACGCGTGCTGATCGACGGCGCCGACGCCGAGACGCTGCGCGAGGGCGAAGTCGTCACCTTCATCAACTGGGGAAACCTCCGCATCGGCAAGATCCACCGGTGCGGAACACCTTGCCGCTGCACCAAAATCCAAACTTTTCGCGTTGAGAGTGGACGTGCGGTGTTCAGGCTCTCAACGATGCTCTGTATTTGGTCGTCGTGCATTTCTGTTTTTATCATTGCTGTCCGGCCAGCTGTTGAAAGCGTTTGTGTCCGTCCGTTCATCTCTAAGGGACTTGCCCCATTTGAAAAACTGGCCGCATTGATCCAAACGGTTTCCCAAAACATGGAGGCAAAATTGGAGCAAAGAGGACTATTTGCAAAAATTCTACCGCGTGTTACCCTTTCAGCTACCCATCAGCTTCCATACTGTTAATTCAATACCTCGATTTGCAAGAGACTCTTTGTTGCCGCGGCTTTGCTTAGGACGGCGGCGGGCGTGGTGTCGTCGGTGGAGGCGGCGCTGAACCTGGACAACAAGGACTTCAAGAACACGACGAAGCTCACATGGCTGGCGGAGACGGCGCGCGGCCCCGCCACGCCCGCCGTGTGTGTCCACTACGACCACATTATCTCCAAGGCCGTGCTGGGCAAGGACGACGACTTCAAGGACTTCATCAACCGCAACAGCAAGGTTGGTTGCACCCGCACCTCCCCGGCTCCCGCCCCCTGCCCTGCGAAATGCGTCGTCTTCTTCCCGCGTGCTGTGCACTACGTGCGTGCGTGTGTGCTGCTACCCATGCCCTGTATCGAAGGCCCATTGCTTTGTGCCGCGCACACTGTGTCAAGTGTCCCATTACTCCGTGTTGTATATCCAAGACCCCTCCTCCTTGATACCCTGTGATTGATCACACTTAATGCCCCATGCTCCACACACCATGACCTATTTTCTATACTCCATGTGCTGTGCCCCACTATTCATCTTCTATACCCAAAACCCTATTCCTCAAACACTTTTGCAAATGAACCCACCATTGTCCTGTGTCCCACACCCTCGTGGTCAGTGCCCCGCACCCAAAGCTGCACACCGCCCACACCCTCTGCTCCTCGCCCCAACCGCTCGTGCCTCTCCATCCCCGCGGCCACGTCCATGCCATGACACGCCGTGTGCGGGCGCGTGCAGAAAGAGACGGCCATGATCGGGGACCCGTGCCTGGCGGAGCTCAAGAAAGGCGACATCATCCAGCTGCAGCGACGCGGCTTCTACATCTGCGACCAGCCCTATGAGCCCATCAGGTGGGTGCAGCTCGCTGAGCCTTGCAGAGACACCGCACCACCGCCTTCAGGATGGCACTTTGAAACGGTTTTATGCACGCGTGTTTTATGCCTATGATGAAGCCACCCAGAATGTTCCCAATTTTGTGAGATCTGAGAAGCTAAGCTGAATTAAGCCTGGATAATGCTTGGGTGGGCAACCGACATCAGTAAAATGGATTCTGCAGACTGCTGTGGGTCTATATTGTCAGCAGGGGGTAGTTGGGGCACTGTACTGTGCGCTAATGTGTGCTCCCCACTAACCTGCTTTGACCAGTGTTGTGACAGATATTAATAAGAGTTTGGTTACAAACTCTTATTAACATGTTTTATACGTGCGAATGTGTTTTCTTGTGTATATTGCAATGTGTGTGCCTGACGTGGGTCCAATTGCAGGTAATGCACACTCTTTGTAATCGGTATATAAATCTTCCCGGGGGGTTCTTTTCTTCTCTTCAGCCCAAAATGAATACCGAGTGCAGTGGCGTATTGATGTGAGCACTACTGAGAGAAGCAGCTGTGATCGAGGCTGGGCATGGTGCTGGCCACATCACTCTTCGGATCACGCATGCTTACACAAATGTTCTCTTCAAAATTACATGTGGCTCAATGTGGGAGATGTTTGTGTTCCAGCCCACACAGCTGCAGGGAGGCTCCCTGTGTGCTCATCTACATCCCTGACGGACACACCAAGGATATGCCAACGTCGGGCTCCAGGGAGAAGAGCAAGGCTGATGCTGGCAAGAAGGAGGTGGGGACGCTTCAGAGAGCCACCGCAGCGACCTTACAGCCCTTTAACAAAATAATTAAGCAGACAATACACCTCCTTCAAATATCGGTCTCTCCACATAAAAAAGGAAAGTGTTTCTTATGACAAGCAAACTTTGGACTGGTTTCGACATGCAGTGTCGCATCAGGCTTGCTTAAATAAATGCCGGTGAACTGCCGATCTTAAAGGCAAGAGGGGGGAAGGTGGAGAGAAGTAGTCCCATTACTTTCCTTTTATCCGGGCCAATGCCAATTACACTATGCCACCAGGTTAATAAAAGTTTCCAACCAGAAGTGCTTCAGTTACCAATAGCAAGTGCCCTCTCAACCACTGACGGGCCAGTGCTGCGCCCCTTTCTGTCCTCCTGTTGTCTCTGCAGAAGGCGGCCGGTTTCGCGAGTGGCGGGGCCGTGGCATCATGCCCCCCCAACGCAGCGCCGGCGTGCGACGCGGCACGGCTCTACCAGCTGGTGTCGGAGCAGGGGGAGTTGGTGAGGACGCTCAAGGGAAAAAAGGCGGCCAAGGTACGGCACGAGTCCAGCACGGCACGCGGCACAGATGGCCTCTGCTGCACCGCAATGAACGGGCGTACGCATACGTGCACACAAAACGCGCTGTGCAGTGCCGTAGCTGTGGAGTGTGGAGGAAGTTGCAACTGCACCTGCTTCCATGGGTGAAATGGGCCTGCACACTCCCCAAAACATTCCTTATGCCAAGGCCCATGCCAACCACGCTACGCCACGAACATAGTGTCTGCACAGTGAGGTATAAATGTTTATTGCTTGAGCTCTGTCAGAGTGAGCTCACCGGTGTGTACTCTGTCACTGCTTCCACAGGAGGAAGTTGATGCGGCCGTGAAGGCCTTGCTGGTGCTGAAGTTGGAGTTTAAGACGAAGACCGGGGAGGAGTACAAACCGGGAAAAGCGCCAGCGCAGAACTGCACGGCAGAGCAGCAGTGTGGCTCGCCGGACCCTGTGGCGCTCTTCAACAGCGTGACGGTGCAGGGGGACAAAGTGAGGGAGCTGAAGGGGAAAAAGGCTCCCAAGGTGAGCTGGAACTTATGTGCTTTCAAAAATCCTTGATTATTCCACACGCTCTATTAAAATTTCCTATTTGCATCATGTTGCAAGATGGAGGACCCGGAGAAAAAGCTACGTCACCACGGGGAGAACATGCAAACTCCAAACATATAGGCATCGGGGTCGGGATGGAACCCACGACCTGTATATAAGGCGAGGTAGTTAACATCTCACCACCATGGCACCCTTGTTTCATGGTGTCGCCCTCAAGATCTTGTGCCTCTCACTTGCTCCTTTTTCCACCTGCTGCTCATCAGGATGAGATCGATGCCGCGGTGAAACAGCTGCTCGCTGCCAAGGCTGCGTACAAGTCCGCGACGGGACAAGACTACAAAGCAGATGCTCCCCCTGCGGCGGTGGCTGCGGTGGCTGCGGTGGCGGCGGTGGCGGGCGGAGAGAAGGGAGCAGCAGGTCCCTCGGACGGAGGAGCCCTTGCCAAGGAGCTGTTTGACAAGGTGGCCGAGCAGGGGGAGGCCGTGAGGTTGCTCAAAACCAGCAAGGCTGAAAAGGTGCGTGTCTTTTGTGTCGAAGCCGGTGACCCGAGTGTGATTCCTGTTTACGGCCAACATCGGTGACGAATAGCTTTAATGGTCCTGGGCCTCCTCCCCTAGATTGACTCAACATTAAGTGAGTACCTGGTGCGGTGTTATAACATCAGCACTGGGGAAACAAAGGTAGCCATGCATGGTTGGAGCCACCCACATACCCCTCATGTGCCGTATCGGCCTTCATAGGTGCTCGCTGAAGTTCTTGCCTCAGCTGTATTTAAGGCTATATGGGGGATCTTTGTGTTTTGTGTCTCCCCTAGATATGACATATTTATTGGTTAAATGTATTGCTACAATATACTCCTACCTGATTAAATATAAGTGAACGGACTGACTCACAATATTTAGTTCACCATATTTTTGTGCCACCTCACCTAAGTCGCATTTATTAAAGAGAGCTGCAGTTGCGGCTAAGAGCTATCTCCTAGAAGTGGTTTTGTGGGTTGGCTGCGTATTGAGCATTTCTTCTTTCGGGCTTTCTCCACCAGCTGCAACCACCGCTGTGTGCATCTACTGGACATCTGTGAAAAGTGCTTTATAGCTCATCGGATTCCTCCAGTATATAAAAAATTTTCTGAATCTGATCTTCACGGGTCTCTTCTCCGCAGCAGCACGAAGCAAGCACTTGAGAAGTTCTCTGTACGCAGCCTGACCTGGGAAATTACAAGCGGCTGCATAAATGTACATATTTACAAAGATATTATATCGCAGACCAACGCATGTTGCAACTGCCTGTGTTTGCATTGTGGAGAAAAATAATTAAGTTGTATTATTTTAATTCTTCAAAATTTTTACTTGCACTATAAATTCAGTTCAGTCTTAATGTAGTTTTTTAGTGAATATCAAATGTACAGTATGCCTGACAAATCTATTGCTTACCATTGTGATAAGCCTGAAATTATTACATTTTGTGGAGCGTGGTGGCCTTCATCTACAAAAGGCTTGACAGATGGTTTTAATTAGCATGACTTATTGTTGAATTCACTTGACGTCGCTTCCATAAACTTCAGGCGCAAGTGGAGGCAGCTGTGAAGCAGCTGTTGTCGCTGAAGGAACAGTACAAGGCGACCACGGGGCACGATTACAAACCCGCCAGCACCGGGGATGCCAAGAACGGCGCCAGGAAGCAGGAGCCCAAGAAGCAGGAGCCCAAGAAGCAGGAGCCCAAGAAGCAGGAGCCCAAGAAGCAGGAGCCCAAGAAGGAGGTGTTACCCAAAGGTGCGGGCGCTAGCAAGGACAGCAAGCCAAAGGAGCAAGACAAAGGCTCAAGCAGCAGCGATGGCCCCAAGAAACAAACCAGGTGAGTGTGTTTGCTTGGGCGGTGGCGTAGCGGTTAGTGCACTGCACTACTGAACCTGGCAACCCGGATTCGATTTCCCCGCTCACGGCCAACGCCAGTGACGACTATTTGAACCGGTCTCTGGGCTTTCCTTAGGTCGACTCAGCCTCAAATGAGTACCTGGTGCGGTGTGTAAACATGGCCACTATAGAGACAAAGACGGCCGGACGTGGTGCTGGCCACCCACCCTCTTGTGTGCCGTGCCGGCCTTCATAGGTGCTCGCTAACAGCACTTACCCCAACAGTCTGTTAAAGCTATACTGGGCGATCTTTGTTTTGTTTGATCATAGATTATTATTTTTTAGGAATTGTATTTGTTCACCAATTCCATCCAGTTTTTGGGATTTAATGGGCATTATATGAGGGATGTGGTGGGGAAACGTGATAACCCACAGATATGTTTTAAGATAACTCGTGCCAGCTCCATTGGAACCCTTTCCAATCCTCTTGTTATTGAATCATCTCCCGACAGGTGACTGCTCAATTGAGTTAACAATTTATCCGCCACTTAATCTGTAGTCTTGCAACAAAAACCCTGCTTTATGGACCATTACATTTGGTGTCTTATAACGTTTTTCAAAGGCACCCCTCAAATGTTAATTTTGTTTTGACATTGGTCAATTTTTGGGCACATCTGTGCATTTGTGTGTGCGTGTACGTTAGACTGGGCATGGAAGTGAAAAAGTTGGAAAACTTCTCAGAATGGTACTCCCAGGTAAGAATCTGGGACTCATCGCTGTCCTGTGCGTGCAATACACCGCTCAGCTATGGAGTGTTTAGCTCGCCGTTCTGCAAACTCGGTGACGTGTCACGTGATTTCAGCCAGTGAGCAACACCATGGCGTGTCTCGATCACCATTTACATTCAATTTCTCTGGAGACTCATTATCAATGCTGTTACTGACACGTCACGTTTGAAGGTGATCACCAAGTCTGAGCTGGTCGAGTACTACGATGTGAGCGGCTGCTACATCCTGCGGCCCTGGGCCTACTCCATCTGGGAGGCCATCCAGCAGTTCTTCAATGCTGAGATCATGAAGCTGGGTGTAGAGAACTGCTACTTCCCCATGCTGGTATCCCAAGCCGCGCTGGAGAGAGAGAAATCCCACATTGCAGACTTCGCTCCCGAGGTGAGTCATCTAAAACGTAAGCTCGTTTCTAGTTACCGTGCTGCGATGTACGATGCGGTTTAATTTGGGGTTCATTTTTGATACGTTTCTTTCAGCAATGTGTTGTTCTTCGGGGTTCGTGCTCTGGAGGGGATACCGTTTAGATAATTTTGCTGCTATAAATTTCCAAATGATGAGCAATTTTGTTGCGCTATCATATCTGACCAGGTCGCTTCTGAAAAAAGAACTAACAGCTCAGGGTGGGCTTGACCTAGTGAAATAAAACTTAGTTTAGTTTTAGTTTCTTCATTTTCGCGATTTGATTATATTTCCTATTACTTTGCACTCCTTTCATTGTTTTGTATTGTTGTAACTTTCTGACCTGCCTCGACTGTGTGAAAGAGCTGCATAGCTCCTTGAATTTCTCCTGGATCAGTAAAGACTGATTCACCGTGGGAAGTGCAGCAGCACGTAGCTCGTCCTCTGGTACAGACTCAAGTGTTCTCTCGGTGATTATTAGAAAATTACAGGAACTAATAAGAATACCTTGAATTTCGATTTAAAGATTTCGTGACTGCAAGGATTCATCTTCTTTGGTTCTTTCGGTAATGTCACGTAGAATGTCAAGGTGCCTCACTTCTCTCAACCAGCTTAAAAGACGCTTCGAATCTTAGCAGCGTTCACTGTAGCTCTGTCGTCCCGACAGGTCTGTTCCTTTCACCTGAAGAAGGCCACTTGTGTTGTGGCCGAAACGTCGTGAGAATTTAATTGTTTTATTTTATTATTTTATTCTCATTCTACGTGACTTTACCGAAAGAACCAAAGAAGAAGAATACCTTAAAATGTATTCCCCTGTTTTATAACCGTTTAATTTATTTGTTACTTCAGGTTGCATGGGTCACCAGATCAGGAAAAACGGATCTGGCAGAACCTGTAGCAATCCGTCCAACCAGCGAGACAGGTCTGTCTTTTGTCATCAAACCCTCCAACCTTACTGCATATCAAATAAAATGCATCCACTGGTCACATAACCATTAGTCTTGAAAATGTTTTGGCCGAGTGATAGGCTTCTAACTTTGCATCAATTCATTAATTAAAATAGATTATTGTGGTCATGATACTTTCAATGATTTCTGCACGTGGTTAGCAGACTGTACTATGAACACGACAATCTGAGTTTTTATTCCCAACCGTGGCTAACATTTGTGGCGAGTAATATCTGAACCGGAGTTGGGTCCCCATTCACTGACCCTCACTGATCAGCTTGATTAAATATGGCCAAACACAGCAAGGGGGAGGCTATCGTCCAGCAGTTAATTGACAAGAACTTTACATTATTATTCTTGTTGCATGGAATTGGTTCCGGTTATCCCTGTAGGTACGTGAGGTACTAGATTAAGGGCAATAAAACAAATCTTGAATCTTGACACCATATCTCGTGACAAATCATCTTATTGTAAGTGGATGGCAAATCATCGCACACTGATTGAGCAGCAATAGTTAAAAATCACTAAAGGTAATGGGATCACTTGGTGTTAAGCACAGACGCCGTCGTTAGTGCACCGCTGCTTGTCAGCTGTGCATGTGACCTGCGTGCGTCAATCCTGATGTAATCGTGTTGGTCGGTAATTCCAGCACGCGTTCTTTCTTTTGGCAGTGATGTACCCCGCGTTTGCGAAGTGGGTGCAGTCGCACCGGGATCTGCCCATCAAGCTGAACCAGTGGTGCAGTGTGGTGGTGAGTCTGCCCTCTCTACCGAGCAGTTAACTTGCTCAAACTCTCGAGACCTCTACCCATCTCAAAGCTTGGTTCTCGACAAACAACATTGTGAAATCACTGTGGCGTCATAAAAAATATCCTGAGATTTAAGGTTAAAAGGCTCCGTTGTTTCAGTTTTCCCTGAGATTATTGAATATTTGATTCTAATTCTTATTGTATTTAAAATGTGGTCTTTTTAACTCAAAACACTTGGGTATCTCCCATGACGTGCTGCCAGTAAGCCTTCACCAAAGTGTCTTGAAATGCACCCAACCTGGCAGAGGCACAACAGTGATGCCACCCACCAATTAGTGGCGGATGGCAGTTGATGTTTTTTGTTGTTTCTGTGCATGTGTGTGTGCATCATTAGCGTTGGGAGTTCAAGCACCCACAGCCTTTCCTGCGCACGCGCGAGTTCCTGTGGCAGGAGGGCCACACGGCATACGCCAATGCAAAAGACGCCAAAATTGAGGTTTCTCCTGCACTTCCACCACCAACAAACTATTTTCTTTTTATGATCAGGTTAGGCCCCCACTAAGCTATATAGGTCTTTTTCAGAAGCGATCTGGCCACAAATGATAGCTCAACGAAGTGACTTATCATGTGGAAATGTTTAATCGCAATTTAATTTTAAACGTGTGTTTTTAATTGTGGAGGGAAAAAAATCCACGCCACCACACTGGTGGGGGGAAGGCAAAGAGCAGCTTTTGATACAAGTGTAATGACAGGGTGACACCTGCTGGCCTGGAAAGGGAATCACGGGTACGGGCATGGTTAAATACCAACCAATCAGAGAAGGAGGTGTATCTGGGGCAAAGGTAACAGGTGGGGTTAGCCGAGATACTCCGGGAACCTGCTGGAAGGTTCCACGAGAGGGTGCGGCCGGAGGCGGGGCCTAGCCACGCCTGGGGGGATATAAGGGGGAGCGGAGCCAGGGCTCGGGGAGGGGGAGGATCGCCGGGTAGGAAGGGGAGGAGGGGGAGAAGGAATGACCGGGCAAAGATGTCAGGGATTAGACGGTGATGATGATGAGAGGGAAGGGAAGAGAGAAAGGAACGTTCAGAAGTGAGCTGCATGGAGAAGCATATTCTGTTTTCACAGGGGGCGGGGAGAGGGGGGGGGTTTCAGATGATAGACTTTTATTAGATTTTACTTAATTCAGCAGGAAGGGCCCAGAGTGAGGGTGGTCACAAAGAGGTCATGCGATTCACGGGAGATTTCAGCTGATTTAGATATATCGATGTGGGGTGTTGATCCAATTTAGAAATGTATAATTTATTTGTGTTATTTTTTTATATCCTTCATATTGATTTTCATTGTCTCATTTGCGCAGCGTCGTTCACCTCAATAGATAAAATGTAACCATTGCACATCATTTTCAGAAATTTAAAATGAGTTACATGTATTCTTATACCCTCAATTCAGTCCGTGTACTATTAACGTAACGTTTAACTAATTAAATTGTGTATTTTCCTAGCACGCACGTGCAATACAGTGCTCACAGCATCGGAGCACGGTTGAGCGTGTTTTCCGTACGAGCGCGCCACACGTGCCCCTCACGATGCTGCGTTTGCATCTCCCCGGCAGGTGCGTCAGATCCTCGACTTGTACGCAGACGTCTATGAGAAGCTGCTGGCCATTCCGGTCGTGCGGGGACAGAAAACCGAGAAGGAGAAGTTTGCTGGAGCCGATTACACGACCACCGTGGAAGCCTTCATCTCTGCCAGCGGCCGTGCCATCCAGGCAAGCGGGCAGGGTGACGAGCGGCCGTTTAACGCGCGTGACACCCGCGCAAACGGGCCTGGTGCCGTCCACGTGCCAGCATCAGGTTTTATCTTGACTCCTGTAGAATTGTCAAGAGTGTGTGAACACCCGCCCCCACCCACCATCGTGGTACAAATTTTGTTATTGTGATTTGACTTCCCCTGTGCAAAAATGACCGCTCCCAGATTCGGAATATATTGTTTGAACCCCTGGGTACAAATACAAATTGCAAGAATATCAATATGACTCCCTGCCCCCCCGCAGGCTGAGCATACTTTATACGGTTAGGATTAGAGTTTGGTGGTTATGGTTATGGTTTTTGCCCAATGTTTCATATAACCACGTACAAATTTGCTTTGGTTTGTCTTAAGGTACAAGGCAAATTGACTATAACATAATTACAGCTCTGAGTAAATAAAAATGGTCTAAACTGGCTTGGGGGGGTGGGGGGGGCGGTCGTGGTTCACATAATGTATTTTATGTTGATCCTGGGGTGAGAATTTTGTGGGAGTCGAAACACCATCTCACACCGGCTCCTGGAGCTGCCCAGCACCCATCCCCCAACACGGGCGTCTGGCTGATTGCGTTCGTGTCATCCAGGGCGCCACGTCGCACCACCTCGGCACGAACTTCTCGCGGATGTTCGAGGTCGAGTTTGAAGACCCAGAGCGTCCCGGGGAGAAGGCTTTTGCGTTCCAGAACTCGTGGGGCCTCACGACGAGAACCATTGGCGTGATGACAATGGTTCACGGGGACGACAAGGGCCTGGTGGTGCCCCCTCGCGTGGCCTGCTTGCAGGTACCATCACAGGGAGTGGCGAGTGACCCGGGGTTAATTATAAATTAATGCAGCAACATTGCTGGCTGATGCTACAATTACATTGTGATTTCCATTCATTTATGAGTGACACAATTACAGTACATCCTCTACACTGCCCCATCCAGTTTTCCATAGGATAAAAACTGAATGAATTGTCACGATTTGAGGTTACGATCCTATGAACATGATTATTCTTCTTCTTTGGTTCTTTCGGTAAAGTCACGTAGAATGAGAATAAAATAATAAATTGATAAAATAATGATTATTCTTGTCCAGTTTTTATGATCTCGTTTGTATTTATAATTTTTTGACCCGTTTGTACTATTTTTCAAATTGTAAAAGCATTGAATTGACATGAATCACAAATTATGTATTCTTCTGACTTGCGCAGTTCGATGCATATATTGTATGAGCCTAAGTATTTTTTTGTTAATTTTAGAGATGTAGCCGGGGGGGGGTGGACACAGGGGATGATCAGACGAGTCCTCTAGTGCAATGGATGGGATGAAGTCACTTTGTCCACGGGGTTCCTTGCGACCTCGCCGCACAGGTGGTGATCATCTCGTGCGGCGTCACAGTAAACCTGGCCGAGGGGGAGCGGAAGGCTCTGTACGAGAAGTGCGAGGAGTACCTGCGCAGGCTGCGGGACGCTGGCGTGCGAGCCCGTGCTGACACGCGTGACAACTACTCGCCGGGCTGGAAATTCAACCACTGGGAGCTGAAGGTGCCGTGCTTTCCTCCCAGCCCCCACGCCCTTCACCTCTATACACTGTTAAAGTGTTTTTGAATATATATTTTTTTCCCAAACGTTGCCCACTATCGTAATATCGGTGTCATGTCACGAGACAAAAAGGTAATTTTGAGATTTCACAAAGCACGGCAACAATCCATGTTAAGAAAATGCCCCAAGGAAGCGGATACCACTGAAATACATCTGAGAATCCCGTCCTGTGACTTCTGGTCCACACAGGAAAGGGGGTAGCACTTTATCACTGACCCTGCTGTTTGCCGCATGACGATCGGCTTAATATTTTTCTGAGAGACAGACTTTAGTCAATGCAGAACCAGATTTAATATGATAGTTTTTATTTGTGCAGTCATTGGTGGTTGAGTCCATCAATACAGGACACTGAGGACGCCAGTATAATCAGAGGCAGCTGCTTGGATTCGATGCCAGGATGTCAGCAGTGCCGCTCGCCTATCTCACCTCTTGAGCCACCAGGCCACCTCCTATCCATTTCTTTAACGTCACTTGGCTCCACCCCGTTCAGTGGCGCTGATGGGTGATGTCGACGTTGCCGCGATGCTGCACACAGGGCGTGCCGGTGCGCGTGGAGCTGGGCCCGCGTGACGTGCGCAACTGCGAGTTTGTGGCGGTGCGGAGGGACTCGGGCGAGAAGCTGGTGCGCAAGGAGGAGCAGGCCGTGGACTTCATCAAGGAGCTGCTCGAAAACATCCAGAGCAGCCTCTACGCCAAGTACGTGCCCACCTTTAGCGACGCCCAAAAGCGGCATCTCTCAACTGCCCAGTCCTTGCCACCCATCCCACGGCGGTCCACTTTGCCATCATTGTCAACCTTTAAAATGCATACATTAACGAAGCCACTGCACACTGCATGCACCGGATGGTTGGTAATCATGAAAAGCTGTACGGTGGGGGTTGTGAAGTCTGGAGTTGAAAAACACTGACCTCGAGACTGTTAGCTTTATACTATTAGCTTTACACTGACTGTTAGCTTGACACTATTAGCTTTATACCGACTGTCAACTTTATACTATTAACGTCACATTGACAATTATCTTTAAATTGACTATTAGCTGTACACTGACTCTCATTATGCAAACACATTTGGTGTGGTCGTTCCTCTGCTCTCTCCTTGACCCAGTACTTGGAGGATTATAGCTGAGAAGCGAAGTTATCGGTGTTTATCTGAGTGACAAGGGGTTACAGTTTTCCCACTGCTGTGACTCTGTGGTTGCTTGTTTACTCTTCAACAGATTTTACTTCCCCAGTTGCTTGTCCTTATATCGAAAACGCCCTTCAACTGTTTTCGTTGTGTTAGTAGTGAATCGCGCACTATTTTAACTAACCCAGCGACTTGAGTTCAATTCCTGTCCATGGCTCTTATCATTGGTGAGTGATATCAGAAACTTGTTGTGGGTCTCCCCCAGTCCGTTTGGCCTAAATTAGTACCTGGTGTGGTGTGTAAAACATCAGCACTGAGCAGACAAAGGCAATCTCGAGTGGTGGTAGACGCACCACCCCCTCGTGCACCATTCTGGCCTAATTAGGTACTCGTTATTAGCTCTTGCCCCATCAGTCCATAAAGGCCACATGAGGGATATTTGTGCAAGGCATGCATACCTCCACCGGCTGAACTGCAGCTATACGTGACGTGGTTCCATACATACCTGCCAAGCTCCTTCTCGTGTTACGGCATCAGAAATAAACAAATGCTCACAGTAAACATTTAAGGAAGTCAACATGAGATACTTGAACGAGGAGGTGAAGTGGTGGCGCATTAACTAGCTCACTGTGCTCCGGACCCAGCGACTGAAGTTCAACTCCCGGCCACCGCTAAGTGATGTCTGACCCAGTCCTAAATCCCCCTTCACTAATCACACTAAACAGCATGGTGAAGTATGGTTAATGAACACCATAACTGCCATGGTGTGGGCAGACCTTCATCCAGCTGTGGATTGATGAAACGCTGTCAATTATTATCAATAGAATGACACCTGGGAGCTCGGAACGTGGGGAACCGGAGTTTCAGAACTGCCGCCGCCCTAACGTGGGGTCGCTGGCGTTTAGTTGGACTCGTTTACGATAGATGACGGCCGTGTGCTGTGGTCGGCGCGCAGGGCGAGCACGGACCTGCACAGTCACATGGTGGTGGCCGACAGCATGGCGGAGCTGCAGAAGGCCATCGACCAGGGCAAGGTAAGGTCGTCTTGGGTTTGGTCATCGTCCCCTCCACCTGTTTTGCGCACCTTGTGTTCTCGCTAGCATCACAGATGGTCTCGACGGCAGTGGCCCAGCAGCAGCGCTAGGCATTGTATTCGCGCTGCTGCGTGGTGGCCACGAAGTGCTGATTGTCACCCCCCTCGTACGTGCGGTGGGCTATTCTCCGGATTCTCGAGTGAAGCCAAATGGTCATGAATGGGATTTCCCAAACATCCCGATCGAAATGTGAAAAGAGTTGGGACTCGGTAAGGCTCTCCTGGCTAAATAATTAACAGATATATTACAATTATTGCAATGTACAGTGTGAAAAGTTGTGCGATAATTGCAGGTGTGTTGAAGTGTGCAGCTTACCCTAAAATGCTTGAACATTGTTACGTGTTGCTTAAACTGGCAAGCATATAATTAAAAAAAAATGAATTCGTTTTAATAGTATTGTGAAATTATGCTTAAAATTTGTTTGAGAAAATGAGCTCAGATTGACTTGTATAATGGCAGGCATGTTTACAGTAAACCGTTGTCTAATGTAGCATGACGAATGTGTGCTGTTAAAACAACTGGCTAATGCATTTGACATTTACTCACGCCTACAACAGCACACTTGTGAATAGCAAAGTGACCGACCAAATGTGAACGAAGAGAAAGAGACCGAGAAGCTGCTCACCAACAGAGATGGACCACCCATTTCTTGGGCTGGATATCGGGTCACCGAATGCTCTAGGCACAGCCTAACCGTTTAGCTGCCAGTGCCATACGTGCGAGACCCCTCAGTGACCCCGCGCATGCACATCCCTCTCTCTACCTATGCAGGTGGCGCAGGTTCCTTTCTGCTTGGAAATGGATTGCGAGGACGAGATCAAGAAGATCACCGCCAGGTGCGTTGTGTGCCACACGCGGCAGCCTGTCCCGAAGGCTCAGGAATGTATCTTTCATTGCGTCGCCATGTACCAGGATAATTGCCATGTACCAGGATAATTGCCATGTACCAGGATAATTGCCATGTACCAGAATAATTGCCATGTACCAGGATAATTGCCATGTACCAGGATAATGGCCATGTACCAGGATAATTGCCATGTACCAGGATAATGGCCATCTACCAGGATAATTGCCATGTACCAGGATAATTGCCATGTACCAGGATAATTGTCATGTACCAGGATAATTGCCATGTACCAGGATAATGGCCTTGTACCAGGATAATTGCCATGTACCAGGATAATTGCCATGTACCAGGATAATGGCCATGTACCAGGATAATTGCCATGTACCAGGATAATTGCCTTGTACCAGGATAATGGCCTTGTACCAGGATAATTGCCATGTACCAGGATAATTGCCATGTACCAGGATAATGGCCATGTACCAGGATAATTGCCATGTACCAGGATAATTGCCTTGTACCAGGATAATGGCCACGTACCAGGATAATTGCCATGTACCAGGATAATTGCCTTGTTTAAATAATCACGGCGTGGGCTGAGCATGTTGTGCGGACCCGCGTGGACGCTGCTGAGCTTCTACCTGCATATGGTCAAGCGCGTTTAGATAACGTGCCGTTTATGCCGGCTTAACACACACCCAGCAAGTTAAATATTCGTAAATATACAGCATCCACTTAAGCCCCGACATGTTGCATTCCAAAGACAACATACACGCTCAACAAAGTGGCTGTAGGTTGTTGTTTTTTTAGTGGACCCTGGAATATATTCAGCTGCAAATAACACATGTGATGGTTAGGTTTAGCTATTTTGCATGTGACCAAGAAATAGGGTCTTTTCACGGCGACTTGTTACAATGAAAGGTGCGTGTTTGCGTACGCGCGAGCATGGTGGCCGGCAGCACGGGTATGTGGTGGCATTTGTAATTCTTTAAGCTCTTTCACAATGGTTCCATTTGCCTTGAAGTCTTAGCCAGCAAGGACTGGACACAAAACTGTTGTCTTTTTTTTTTAAATCTAGAAACTTAAACAAACTAATCTACGAAACTAAAACTTTTTATTGTAGTTCTTTTTCAGAAGCAACCTGGTCACAAATGATAGCTCTAAGAAGTGGCTTATCATGTGGATGTTTATCGAAGCCAAATGCTCCAAACACATGTTTCGAAATATGGCGGGAAAAACCGGAGGACCCGGACTAAAAATCCACACGACCACGGGGAGAACATACAAACTCCAAATATACAGGCGTCAGAGTCAGGATCGAACTCGCAACGTCCTGCATACCCTGCGAGGGAGTTAACATTTTGCCACCGTGGCACCCCAACAACTTATATCCACATTCCACGACTGTCATAAAAGGAATACAAATGTATATTGTTTATTTTTTTATCAGTTTCAACGAGTAGGTTTTAGTGTTGACTATTTACAACAGATGAATCTTTGGATCCAATATTTCCAATCTCAAATGACTTTTTATTAAATTGGGCACTGAGTGGTGCTGGGTTTACAGCTTTGGAGAAGCAGAGTGCCATTGTGTGGCTTAAGATCCACGCCTGCTCGTTCTGTAATGGACAGGCTGTCAACGCATGGAGTTTCTCCACGCATTGCAGTTTCTTCCTACACGCAAATGCTCAAAAGGAGGAATTGGTAAATTGTCGTGAATACATCATCGGCATAAGCCCTGATATGTTGCCCATTCAATTGCAATATACGCGCTGTATAAAGTGGGTCGTAAGTTTTTTGCAGTGGACCCTGTAAAACCTTTTATCTAGTTTTAATAAAATGTGTCGTATTTATATTAGGTGTGACTATTTGTTGTGGTCAAGGAAGTGGGTCTATTCTTAGCTGGGTCTCTCAGGGGTCATCATCGAGCCTGACACCACTGAGACGCAGGTGTTGTATCAAAGCAGCTGCCTGTCAAACCAGTTTCCAAGCGTAGTGAGTTGATTTTATCAGCCTGGTCATCAGTAATTGTACATAAACAATGACATGAAATATAATTTTCACTTAATTTGGAAAAATTGCAGCTCAAATGACGACCCCCCCCTCCCCCCCGTAACCAACACGGCATGGGCAGGCCTTAATCTCGTGCTGATTTGACAAGGGGCTGTGAATTAAGTAACATTGGAATGCGATTTGAAGCCTCGTTGAATGTATCTGTGGCGGTTGTGCGTCTTCACAGGGATGCAGACGTGGAGCCTGGGGCCCCGTCCATGGGAGCCAAGAGTTTGTGCATCCCCTTCAACCCTCTCAAGAAGATGGATGATGCCTCCAAACCACCGTGCGTCGGCTGCAACAAGCCGGCCAAAGCCTACACTCTGTTTGGCCGCAGCTATTAGTTACGATGAGGAGTCTGTAGCGCGTGCGTGTGTGTGTGTGTGTCTGCGCCGTGCGGGTCTGTCCATGAGGCATGTGACGATGTATCGATTCACGACGATTCGCACGCCTGCGATACATTAAATGGCGTGCCAGCAAAGAGAGTCGCGGGTTTATGCAAACGATGTTATGCTCATGTTACATTTGGGATTATGGAGCAGATGCAACTCTATAAACGGGGAGCTAGAAAACAATACTTGCAAGATGGAAAAAATGAAAGGAAAAAGCATCCACTCTTGAATTGACTTGCAGCCCCTAAATCGTGGCATTGCTGGGCCAGGCGAATCGTTGGCATGCTCTACTGGTGTCCACACAGTGCCCATTTGTTAGCGCCGTCTGAGGTTAGACCTGCCTTGGGAGATGCCCACAGTGCCGTTGCCACGCGTCAGCGAGAGCGTCTCTTTCAAAGTTTGCAATGAGAAATACGTCCGACTTATTTACACAACGCCTCGGAGTTTATGGGAAATCCAGACGACGGTTGTGCAAATTGAGCCAGACCGGCGCTCGTAGACGAGCGCCGGTCTGGCTTGGAGACGAATGTTTTTGTTTTTCCGAAAGTCTTGGGATTTGAAACTCCGTCAAGATGTTGCACAACTGATAGCCACGCTGCGTGCGGCCCGTGTGTTTATGTCAAGGGCGTTTTTTTAAACATTGGCTCATCTCCCAGAGCCCACTTCTGGAGGTCGGCTCACATCCTCCAGACTCGTTTTCTGGACACTTTTTTATGGTGGATCAAGCATGTGCCAGATATTTTTCTAACAAAACCATTTTAGTGGCTGAAGACCGAAAATAATGATTACCATAATAAAGAAATGCATGTTGATAATTGTAATAAACTTTAGAAAGCACTGCAGTCTTGCCGTGTCGGGCTGGTGGGCATGTGTGACAACATACGGTTTTTACGATGGATTCTACCAATTCACCATATTTACATCCAAGCTAGAATTTGTAACAAACAAAACACGTTTACAGTAGATGTGTGTCTGCCTATATATGTGTGAAGGGCACAATGATGCTGAGCGATGGTGGTGCACGTCTGCAATCCGGCACTTGAGGCGAGGGTTTGGTGGATCGTGCGCAAATGTTGTGAACCTTCGTTCCCATGGACATCGATGTTGCCGTACCATGGCTCGCCACGGGAAGGCAGTACAGGAAATAGGTGGACTCCACCTCTCCCGTCTGTATGGCGTGGAGTGTGTTACCACTTCGCACACGCGGGGTTTCCTTCGGGTGGTCCGGTTACTTTCCGTAAAACATTTTTTATACAGGGGCCCGTACATCTTGAGCAATTGTTGGTGCCCGTTCACCGCGTGGCTGCCTTCCCAATTACCTGTGGGTCCTCGCGCCTTTGAGTCGTTCTCTCTTCGAGAATGAGCGAATACGGTGTGCTCTACAAGTCGAGATGAGTAACTATGATTTGAATGTGACTCCAAATAGATTAACACAGCTATTTCAATGCTAAATTCCCCCCACCCCCCATCCTCCGTTCCGAACATAGATGGACTCGTCCGTCTGAACAAAGCCTGTCGCTTTCCGTAGTGCTAATCTCCCAGTTACATGCTAATTTCTGACTTTAACATCCTGCTAATCCAACACATTAACACAGCTATTTCAATGCTAATTTCTTCTGTTGGTATGTAAATTCCTTCGTCAAGGCGCTCTGCTCCTCCCACCCAGCTTAGAAGACGCTGCCAGCTTTTCAGTGTTCACTAAAGCGCTGTCTTCCCGACAGTTCTGTTTCTTCACCTGAGGAAGGCTACTTGTGTTGTGGCCGAAACGTCGTGAGAATTTTATTTTATTATGTTTTATTTTTATTTAATTTCCGTTCTACGTGACTTTACCGAAAGAACCAAGAAGATTGTGAGTGAGTTATGCGATGACGACAGGCAGAGATAAAGGGAGTCTGTGCGTCTGTTTTAAAGATGCATTTTTGGTTTAGCTGTGAGCAACAAAATGATTGAAACCTTGGACAGTCTTTGCTTTGTAACGGCAAAGATGAAATAGCGAATGGAACAAGTGTTGGTACAACACTTGTTAACAATATGCTGCCAAGATAGTTTTAGATGTAAGGTAAATAAAGTGTGCGAGTTTATACTCTTGCATACATTTATAGCAAATTTGACATAATTGGGTAACGGGATAAAAAAGTTACTTTTTTTTTGGAAATTCCTGCCTCAGACATTGTTGATGATATTTCTAAGCAGGTAATGGCCCATTGGAAAGCTGTTGACCGTTGGGCTCAGGATAAGTGTGAGAAAAACAGAGTCGTGTCCAGCGAATTCACTCAACAATTGGAGATATAGCGCAGAATATGTCGATCGATTAAACGTGGACCTGAATCAAAATGATAATATACAGGTGGGCACGAGCGGGTTGTCGTGATTTAACATACGGAAATTAGAAACATTGACTCTTAAGAAAAGTGTGCTTTGGCAGGAGACGTCACTGGAATACGCGATGGCCGGTGGTTTAGTATCACGACATTGGCAATCAAAGGAGGCGCAACGCGCCAAAGAAGACGTCCACCGCGAAAATTGAGCGATGAAGTCGGCCAGTGTGCATGCGCTGGGTGGATCTTTGCATCAATAGCCTGAGACAAAGGCACGGTTCGGGAGGGGGGCGGAGTGCCTGCAGCAAGCAGTGGGTAGAACGTGGCTGATGATTATGAAAGCTTGTGGCTGATCATTCTCTATTCGCTGCTGTTCAAAGCCCGCCCGTGCCGATGCCAGATACAGTACGTGAGGCACGCCCGTGCAGCTGGGGTCCACATGTTGCCTGGCTGGGTTTCATGGCTCCACCTCTTGGGCCACGTCCTCGTGTGAGGGCGCAGCTGGGCTGCCACCCAGTCCCCGAGGGCCTAGACTGGTAATAGTGGTAATGCTGCAATGACATCACCCTGCACCATCGGGAAGGGGGGGGGAAACCCAAATGTTTATCTTTGCACGAAAGTTATGCAGAAACACTGAATGTGCAATGAAACCAACTTCCCATCCCCTTCAAACTCGCGAGGTGAGAATAGGATCAATGATATGAGAATGGGGAAACTGATCCCTGTGGGTTGGTGAAGGGAGATGATGTTTTGCCTCTCGCTAAGAACCTGGCTGGTGCATGGGTGCCATCTGTCCTCGACTTTAGCGACTCGGGATGCTGGGCTCTATGAGGTTCCCACGCCTCTTTGCCACAGGGTAGGTTTTCGGTGACAATACAGAAGTACATCCAAATCTATCAAATGTATTCGCATCCCTCGTGTCGGTCCATTGCCACATGCAGGGGTGGGGGTGTTGCAGAAATGTTAAGCGATTAAAAGAGGGCCCTACATATACAAAATAACAAAGTGTTTGCTCTGGTGAATGACTAAAATCCGAATGGTCAGGCTACGGGCCGAGCGGTTGTCCGTCCGCCGCTTATTGCAGAGGTACGGGGTTCTAAATCAGCGACTGCCACTGGCTGTGGATATAATAATCGTATAACGTGCTGCTCGTTTCACAGTGCACGTGAAAGATCCAGAAACGTGATTTGAAAATGTAAAAATAAACTGAAACTTTTTATTTTATTAGGTAAGGCCCACAGCTATGTCGCTCTTTTTTAAGACGCCATCTGGCTACACATGATAGCCCAATGAAGTGGCTTATCACGTGGACATTTATAGCAGCCAATTACTCTACACGCGTGTTTTTAAATGTGGAGGGAAAAACACGGAGGGCCCGGAGAAAAATCCACGCAGCCACGGCGAGAGAGACACACCAACTCCAAATATACAACAGGGGTCGGGGTCAGGATCTAACCCACGACCTCCTGCATACCAGGCGAGGCAGTTAACATCTCGCCACCGCGGTGCCCACGAAGGCCATTGTACGCCGAATTGGACAAATAACACGTACATTTCTCAATTTTTACATTTCTCAATGTTATTTCACCACTCATAGCCCCTCTATTGAGAACACTGGCGGGACCCTCCTGAAAGGAGAGTCAACGAGGATCAGATTGAAGCTTTTCTGCCTAAATGCGGGTACAATAATAGACACAGTAGTTTCAAGAATTAATTGATGAACTGTCATCTAGCAACCTCGCAGCCAAAGCTGAAATAAAACACATGGGTTTCCCAGGCAATGTCCCAGCTAAGGGTAAACAAGACTCAGCCCTGCTAACCTCAGGGTGAATGGTCGCAGGTACAACTTCTTACACAGGTAAAACAACTTCTTACACAGGTAAAAAGGTCGTGAATCCGTCCAACCCTTGTCCCCACGCAGCGCTACCCTCGTGCCCCTGCTGCGCGCACACTCCGCCCTCCGCCTTGCACAACTCGGAATCCGATGGGCGATAAAGCTCTTATACAGATGTAAGCAAATCACGAAGAAAACCTTTTATTTTACCGGTAAAGCCAGAATCTACCTGGCCACATGATAGCTCAACGAAGTGGCTTATCACTCTACCCCCCCCCCCCCCCCCCCCCCCCCAACTCACGCCGCCTCCCAAATCAACTCGGATTTAGCCGAGTGGCCTGAAGATGAAGACCAAATAAGCGACCTGCAGCTAAAACGGGGCCCAAAAACCCGCGACTCTGAACACGCGACGGAGACTTTAACAATCGGTCCAGCTCCGCGCGTAGCGGAGTGAGCGATTCGGCCATGAAACTTCCCTTCTTGAATTAAGGACACACGAAGCGTAGAATTAAATAAGCGCAGGCAGGGCAGCAATCATCGTGGTCCGCAGACGGGATCGCAGGCAAACTCCCAACAAGGCTATTTTCGTTTGTTTCACCTTTGGCGTCAAACCTCTGCAACAAAACGAACGTGAATAGATTAGATAAGTTAATCTCAAATCCAAACTTCACTCGGAGCGAACAGAATTTTCCATAAGAGGCTTTCTTTGGGTTAGATCGCACAAAATAATTTCACACTTAATAGTGGGAAATGAATCATTGCTGTATGAGGGCCTCCCCACACCGTGTTGGTCGTCGGGGTTGTTTGACCATACTTCACCACGCTGGTCGGTGCCCGTTGGTGAAGGCGGGGAAGGTAGACGCGGGAGGATATAGAAGTCCACTACAACAATGGGTACTCCTGCACTACCCTTTGCCGCTCGCAAACGTAGCCCCGAAGTAGCCTATAACACCTATTACGCACGTTGGTTTCCCATACAAACACTATCCGTGCTCAAATCTGTTCTGCTTTTGAGATGTGACTAATTCGGCCGTATTGTGGGTGATTTGGTCAGAATTTTCCATTGACTTTGGGCCCTAAGTGTAAAGTGTAATGTCCGAACATTCCCTCCCTGGTCTCTTTTTCCACATTGGAACAGCACACGCACGTGCTGTGTGCGCCGTGCATGTGTAACGAGCAGTGGGGTCCAACGCGGTGAGATGCGATACTCGCTCAGGGCAATTTTTGGTGACGAAGTCCCTCGCCCCAGCCCAGTATCCCCATCGAAATGTAAATCTTGAGAGCCAAAAACCGTGCTTTTTTGTTTGTTACTCCCCGACCTAATCGCAATGACAATAACTTTGGGAGACTTCCAAGAAAAGTTCCGCGTTTGTTGTTGTTTATCTTGACATAATTTTCCATTTCTCAATATCTTGCAATATCGTGACCTCTACAGCGTGGCCTTTTTCATTTAATAACAAACCGCACCCCCCGATTGGAACAGTGCGTCATCGTGCCCTCCACACTCCGCGCACAGCTGATTCGTGCCCAGACTCTCCCCCCGACACGATCTTCCAAAGTGGATCATGGCCGCAGACTGTGAACGTAGTCCAGGACATCTGTTTTGAGTTCCTCCATATTCATCAATACGGTATTAAGTGTGCAGTATCCTCCTTCATAATTCGCGGTTATATTGCTGTCAAGTCAGGGTTTGGGGCGGCCACATCAGATCAGATTCCCTCCCAATCTATCGTCCACCGTTGTCGTTCAAAACGCGAGATCAAATCATTGTTGAGTACGGCGATGAGATTAAGAAAAAACGTTATCCTTCTGCTCGTCTAAATGAACCACATTGTACTCTCATCGCAGCTCAGCCCGGAGATGTTGCCTAACACGACCAGCTCCAGAGGACGCTGTTAAAGGCCCTGATGGTACAATTTCGACGATACCTCGCTGGACTAGAGTATTTGAATAGCTCCTCAGCTTCCCGGTGGTCAAATTGGCACTAAACGTTTGTGCCAACTGCGGTGTTAAAACATTACCACCGGGGAGACAAAGGTGGCCGGGCGTGGTGTTGTTCGGTGCACCATCATCGTTGCTCGCTAACACTGCTTCAGAATCAGAATGCGTATTCATACTTGGAGGAATCTGATGAGCTACAAAGCTATTTTTTCCACAGATGGCCCAACGGTCCGAAAGCGCTAGAAAGAGGTAGAATCTTTTTTCCATGCCTTTGTGTTGCTGGTTTCATTTTGTCGTTGTACGCCTGAACTGTAGATACTGCGCGCGCGCGCGTGTGTGTGTGTATATATAATCACATGAATAGCCGCAGTGTCGGCCAAGCCCCACATTTTTATGAAGCACCACGTGTGAGCTGTCCCCGCTGCAAAACACGCGCGGGCTATCAGCTGCTTGCCCTGCACGGGATGCGACGCAGCTGAGCGAGGAGGCGTGCGGCGCTCGGTGGTGGTGGTTGCCTCGCTCTCAAAACGTCAACTCGCTCGGCACCACCGAGGGACACCCAAATCGGAATGCCCCCGGTCAATGCAAGCGTCTACGCGCAACGCTCTCCTTACGAGAACGTGTCGCGGTGGTGACCGCCGCTTCTTTCGGTAGCTTTACTTGTGGGTTTAGTTCGCGTTCGGCGATTGCTCGCTGCGGAGTTGTGAAAGCGAGTCTGCAAGAGGCGAGAGTAATCGCCACTCCATCCGTCACTCGGACGCCACAATGCGAAGTGCGGTAAGGAATGTTATCTGTAATACTTGTAACACCTTCCAGAACGAGTTTGAATTGCGGCACCGTATTAAATCATCCCTGTGCGTTATAGCGTAAATTAGAATGTACTGTGATATACGTTATGTAAAATCGTGTATGCCGGTGATCAAATCGTCCGGAATCCAAAACGTCGGAAGCCGAGCAGGTTTCAGACTGGAGGGCGTTTGAATGGGAGACTGCCTTCGGGGTTCCCGGAGTTGGAGGCTTTGCCTGCGAAGTTGGTCAAGAGATGACAGTCCAGCAATGGACTCCTGAATCCATCTGTGCGGAGCCTACGCACTAATCCCATCGTATGCCGTGGTGGGTAACCTCCGGGTTTGGATTTTTAGATTTGATTGATTTCATTTTCATCGGGATCCTCCAGTTCCATTCGCACACGAAGGCAATCACTCGTGAGTGGAATTGGCCAAGAATCGCGACGTAGCGGGCGGGACCCTCCCGAAGCAAAGTCTTGAGACTGAGTGAGGGTGTTCGTGGATCACTTAGGGACATTGGCTGTCGACGGGTATCAGCCGTTAACTGTATCAGGTCTCATAGAGGCAATGTCGGAGCCAGGATTTTCAGGTAGAAGGGGCAACCCCTCCAGCAATTAAAAATTATAGGAGTTGTTAGTAAGTAAGGACTTGTCCCTTGTTTTTTATTCGACGCGTGTGCGGCGATGGCGCGTGTACTGTATACGCAAATGTGCACAATTCTGTGAGTCACTTATAACTGCTTTGCCGTTACTTATTGCCAATTATGGACTCAGTCTATTGTCCTATCATCTCATAAAGTCCCTGGCACGTAATAATATGATACACAGTGGCAGTGGGGGTCGCAAAATGCCGATTTATTACTAATAAACCCCAATGATCCGATCGAAATTAGGGATTTCGATCGGATCATTGGGGGGGGGGGGGGCACGTGCCACCCCACCCCCACCGGCTCCGCCAATGCATATAGGTATTTTGGATGAGCAGGAGGAGTTATTTGTGTGTGTGTGTGGGGGGAGGGGGGGGGGGTAGGTGGCTCATGCGATCGGAAATGAATTGACTCCCTCACCTCATGCCCCCCCCCCCCTAGATGGGGTCCGGACCGCTCAGCCTCGCGCGTCTCCTGCTCGCGTTGGTGCTGATTTCACTCCCGCTGCTGTGGCTGCTGCTGCACCGCCTAGGCAACTTCCCCGGAGGCGCCTCTCGTCGTCTCCACCACGGCCACGCCAACGGCGACATCGTCGAGAGCTACGACGACGTCGCCGCTGGACGTCCAAATGCGAGTCCACCTCCCGGCACGACTCGTCCCGCGCGCACGCACACGCTCATCCTCACCACGTTCCGCTCAGGTTCCTCCTTCCTGGGACAGATATTCAACCACCACCCGGACGTGTTCTACCTGCCCGAGCCCGCGTGGCACGTGTGGGACGCGCGGCCCCTCGGCACGGCCGCGGGAATGCTCGAGAGGCAGGCGGAGGTCGCCTCCCTGCTCGGGTCACTCCTCCAGTGCCGCGCGGCGGCCCTCGCGCCGTACCTGAAGCTCCCCGTCAATCGTCCGCAGCCGCTTCCTCGCCAACAGCGTCGGCGTCACGGCGATGCTGTTGACGGGGATAAGGGGGAGGATGGTGAGCAGGCGATGAGGTCTGCCATGCTGTCGCAGCTCTTCCAGTTCTCGGAGAGCCGCGCGCTCTGCGCCCCTCCCGCCTGCAACGCGAGCGCGCGGCCGACGGGACGCGGGACGCGGAGAACGGGCACGGCCTCGGCCACGGCCGGGGGCGAACGAGGCGCACCCCAGGGCAGCGACTGCCTCCGCGCGTGCGGCGGAGAGAGGCTGGAGCGGGGCGTGCGGGAGTCATGCCTGGCGCGCCACCACGCCGTCATCAAGGAGACGCGGCTGATGGAGCTCGCGGCGCTGCGCGCTCTTCTCGAGGAGCCGGCGCTGCGCCTCCGCGTCGTGCACCTCGTGAGGGACCCCAGGGCCGTGCACCTGTCCAGGGGGCGCGCCTTCCACGACCTCGGGGACGACCTGAGCACGCTGAAGATCATCTGCGACGCCAACCACAACATCAGCCGGAGCATGCGAGGCCTCGGAGATATATTTGCTGCTGGTGCCGGGGGTGGTGGTTATGCCGGTGATGGTGGTGGTTCAAGTGACCGCGGTGGTGACGGTGGTGCAGATCCTGGTGGTGGTGGTGGTGGTTACAATGATGTTGGAGGTGGCTCTTTGGATGACGTAGCGTCGACGCTGTTGCGCGACCGCTACGCCCTGGTTCGATACGAGGACCTGGTGCAGGAGCCCGTGGTCGCCCTGCGCCGCCTCTTCAGCTTCGCCGGCATCAGCGCCGATCCGCAGCTCCTCTCGTTGGCTCTGAACATGACGCGCGGCGCCGCAGCGGACGGGCCCGCATTCTCCGTGCGCCCTCGGGACGCGCTCCGCGTGGCCTCCAAGTGGAGGCAGGAAATGTCCTTCGAGAGCGTGTCCAGGGTGCAGGAGGCCTGCTCCTCCATGATGACGAGCTACGGCTACAGGGCGATGGCGTCGGAGAGAGAGACGAGGGAGCTCAAGGTGCCCTCCACCTCACCGCTCGGCGAGGGTCGCGGCTGACCCCACTGCGGGTGAGGACCCTGTCGAGTTATTGATGATTCGGAAAACCCGACCACCGCATTGAACCGCGGGTCCTCTACTCGACGTGCCCCCCATCTCGTCGCACGTGTGTCATCGAAAGCCAAGCAGGGATTTCTGAGCCTGGTTTTTGCACTTGGACTGCTTGGGTATGACATGCGGACGTTATATGATCGGTGGTCTGGATTGCAAGCGCGGTGCGACAAAGCGTTGTGACAGCGATGGATGCGCTCGCTCCTCACCACGGCCTCCTCTGTTTTTACCGCTCCTCCCCGTTCACACGATGCGATTTTACACGCTCGCTGCACGCACCTCGTCATCGCTAAGCAGTGACCCACACGCGACACACATCGAGAGCGGAGTTTTGCTACACATCACGATATATATATAGACACCTCGGTCTGTGTGCGCGCACGCGTGGGTCGCGTGCGAGCGCGTACGAAGGCTGGAACGGCACCACGCGAGGGGGTGGTGTGACCAGCAACACGCCCGGCCGCCTTTGTCTCCCCAGTGGTGATGTTTACACACCGCGCCCTAGGCACTAACTTAATGCCCAGGGACCGGTTCAGAATATTCGCCACTCTTGTTGGTCGTAAATGTAAATTCAAAGTAGCTCACGAACAGCACTTGCCCCCACGGCATGTTCAAGGCTACACGGCGGATCTTTTATCTTTATTTCGTCCCAAGCGCTGCAGAAAGCGCCAGATAAGATCGTCGTATCGCGTAGTTGTGTACGTTTATGACAGCACTTGACCCAACGTGACGTGGACAGGCGGACTCCAAAGATCCTTGGTCTCTTGCTCACGTGGGACACGTGTTTAGCAATCATCAGGCGCGTGCCGCATGCAAACCGCTTGATCCGTGTTGCGATGGGAGGCGGACTGGTGGACGTGGCAGGGTGGTGCACCATGGCTGGCTCGGCTCTCCAGCAATCCCCGGTGGATGTATTATTATTATTATTGACGTATTTTAGATGTATTTGCCAACCTTTGAAACGTTCCTCGAAAGTTACTCAATTGGCCAGCCAGGTAGCGAAGTCGCCCCCTGCCGTCTGACCAATGCCCACCTGCAGACGAGCGCCGCTACAGTCCACGTCTGTGCCGCACAGGGTCAGCTGCCACTGGGTTGGTGGACGGGGGGCGGGGGGGATGGTGTCAGCTGCCATCGGGCGCCACTAAAAATCTCGCGCGCGAGAGGTGCGTTTAAAATATGAAGTAATGATGATGATGGTGGTGGTGGTAATGAGTTACAATGAGGTGGATTTGCAAGACTAAATGTCACACTAGACACGTCTTACCGATGAGCGTGTGTGACGAACGTGATCTTCGTATGGTCAATTGTTGTAATTATATGGGACCTTGGAGTTTCCGACCGGGGTGTTGGATCTTCCCCTCTGCCTGGTTTGGGTGGTGCCCAAATGGGGCCCCCAATTTCCTCACCACCACCACCCCCTCTCCCCCATCACCGTAGCCCGGCGCCTGGGCTCCTCGGTCCCGTGTGCCCCGGGTGCAGTTGCACCGCCTGCGCACTCCGAGAGCTGGTCCGCTATGACCGCTGGGGGTTGTTTTGTACTTAAGAGCACGTTTCACCTCAATCGCTTGCTCCGCCACCTGTAATATTAATTCATCATCATGTCAATAACTGTTTATAATTCAACGCATTATTTGGTGATTCTGCTGCGATGCCTGCGGCGCGCAAGCACAGATCACAAAATAAACTCAACACATTCGTCAGTAACGCTGTAGCCAAAGAAGGACAATATTTATTGTACTAGCTTAAACTAGCCGGCTTCGCCCGGGACTAGGATTCACCACGCCCGGCCGCCTTTGTCCCCCCAGTGGCGATGTTCACACACCGCACCAGTTACTCGTTTGAGGCTGAGTCGACCTAGGGGAGGCCCAGGACCGGTTAAAATAATCGTCACCGGTGGTGGCCGTGAGTGGGAATCGCACTCGGGTCGCCGGGTTCGTAGCGCAGCGCGCTAAACACTACACTACAACTCCCCCTCCACGCACACACAGATACACACACACATAAACACACAGATACACACACAGATACACAGACACACACACAGATACACACACAGATACACACACAGATACACACACACAGATACACACAGACAACAACAACAACAACCGCCATTCGCCACTAAGTGGCGGTGACGTCACCACGACGCTTGTGCCAGGCTATGTGCACCCTGAGGCCACGTGAAGTGTCGAACGCCCGCTGGCAGGAGGTCACGGGGCAGACCCAGGTGCCACGGGTCGACTGACTGAGATGACTGGCTGATGCACCACCTGTGCCCCCTACTGTGCCAACCTGCTGTGCTTTAGCCACCCGGCGCACCGCTCGCTGTTGTGAGCGTCGCTCCTCCGCCCTCCGTTGTTGTTGGAGGGCGACTGCCTCCAACTGCCCAGTAGCATCCTTCACGAGCCTACTCCACAGAGGCCGATCTTGACACCGCTGGTACCAGTCATCGGCAAGTCCACTCAGCTCCACGTCCTCCTGTACCACATCACTCCATCTCCTCTCTAGCCCGTGCCGCGCCCGCCTAGCCCCCCCAATCCGGCCAAACAAAAGCTGTCTCGGCATGCGGTGGCTGGGCATGCGGGCTACATGACCCAGCCATCGCAGCCTTGCCTGCCGGAGGAGCTCACCGATGGGACCCTGCCCAGATCTTTCAAGGATTTGTGAGCTCCTCACACAATCCAGCCTGGTTAAACCCAGGATGGATCGTAGGCAGGTCAGCCTAAATGCTTCCAACCGGCGAAGACGCCCCATCAGGGGGGTCCACGTTTCGCAAGCGTAGAGTAGGGAGGGAATGATCGTGGCCGAGAAGACCTGAAGCTTAGTGCGGAGCGACAGACCAGGTAGCTTCCACACAGCGTTACGCAACCGATGAAAAGATATTGCCGCTCGACTGATTCGGAGTGAGACCTCTGCTGTTAAACTGGAGCCAGTCATAAGCACACTGCCCAGGTATGGGAAACTCTCCACTCTCTCCACAACTGCCCCATCACCGATTGGGAGTTGTGGGGGTGGAGTGTCCGATGGTACAAAATACCCAGGCAGGTGCTTAGTTTTGGTGGGGCTGATGGTAAGGCCCCACCTCTTAGTGGCACGCTCCAGTCTCAGCAGCAGCGTCTCCAACTCCTCCTCTGACTGAGCAGCTATTACCAAGTCATCAGCATACATAACGTGGTTGAGCAATAGGGAGCCATCCCTTGACCGCACCCGGGCATCGATTAGCCTCCCATTATATCTGTACCATATGGAGATTCCCCCGGTACAGCTATTGAAGGCTTCACGAACTACGTGGTCAAAATAGATGTTAAATAATGTGGGAGCCAGAGGACATCCCTGTCGCACCCCAAGGTGTACAGGGAATGGCTCTGACTCCCGGCCACGTAGTTTTACCCGGGCCCGCTCACCATCATGAAGGTCCTTAATGATCGTGAGCAGAGGGTCAGGTACTCCAAAAGCACGAAGAACGACCCAGAGCCCAGGCCTACTGATGGTATCATAGGCCTTGACCAGGTCAATAAAGCAGAGATGTAGGTCTTGTTGGAATTCCCTACACCTCTGCTGTAGCAGACGGACAGAAAATATGGCATCTGTGCAGGACCGCCCTCTCCCGAAACCGCACCGGGGCTCCGCAAGCCTCTCCTCAGCGTGCCTGGCAAGGCAATGCTGAATAATCCCTGCCAGGACCTCTCCCGGCACACCGAGGAGTGAGATGCCCCTGTAGCTGTCACAGTCTGTGCGGTCCCCCCTCTTAAAAAGGGGGACCACCAGGGCATCCTTCCAATCCCGCTGAACCCGTCCAGCGGTCCAGACCGTTGTCATGATGTCATACAGGGCAGCCCGTGCACAAACGCTACCCTCCCTCAGCACCTCGCTTGGGAGATCATCTCTGCCCGCTGCCTTTCCTGGTCTCAGACTCCGGATCGCCTTCAATACTTCCTCAGCAGATGGCACCTCAGCCAGCCACTCACAGGGGGTGACTTCATCCAATATTTGAGGCACCGCAGCCTCAGCAGGGTCATCCTCACTTTGTGCCACGATGTTTTCCTGGCTGAGGGATTTTCCCTCCCCCAGGACCTCACAGAAATGCTCAGCAAATCTGCGAACCTGTTCCTGGGGGTCGGAAATTGGATCACCGTTTTTTCCCCTAATGATGGTAATAGGTGTGGCGCTGCAGGTTACTTTTTTGATGGAGTTAAATAGAGATTTGTGATCACGGGCCACTGAGGCAGACTCCATCTCCTCAGCAACCCGCGACCACCACCCATCCTTGCAGCGCCTCACGGCTCTCCGAACCTCCGAGCGAAGGCTGCGGTAAGCCTCCTCATTCTCTGACGTGGGATTCTGTAGCCGATGACAGTGGGCCTGTCGCTTTTTCTCAACCATCCTGAACAACTCCTCTGTCATCCAGGGTGTCTGGGGAGGTCTGGACCGCGTACCCAAAGCAGCCATTGCAGCTGCATGAGTCACAGTCCTAAACCTCGCCCATTTACCCTCGACATCAGGAGGAGTCGGGGACGATGCCAATCCCAGCCGCAAGCGATGATGAAATTCTCGCTTGCAACTTTCATCAGATAACTGAGACCAGGCCACTTTAGGTTGGAATGGGGTCCTGGGTGTACACCCACCACCGGAGTGGAAGAATGGCAGGCGCATCTTACAGATGACTAGTCGATGGTCAGAGGGCAGATCAGCTCCACGGTAGGTCCTGGTGTCAAGGACATGGGCTCGCATTCGCTGGTCCGTCACTATGTAGTCCAGCAGATGTTCTTGCTTGGACCCGGCATGCATCCATGATGTTGTGTGGATGCGCCGATGCCGGAACAGCGTGTTGGTAATTACAAGCCCATGGGCTGCACAAAAATCTAGCAGCCTCCTACCGTTGTTATTGAGCTGATCTGGCCCATGCCCTCCAATCACTCCAGACCAGGTGCCAGTATCATGACCAACTCGGGCATTGAAGTCACCCAACATGATGACTCTATCCCGAGGGGCCACTTTAGCCAGCACCTGTGACAGGAGGTCATAGAAGGCATCTGACTCATCGGCTTTGCCTGCATCCCTCCACGGATGTTCATCTTCGGTGGGGGCATAAGTAACCACGACCACCATTCCTCGCCTCCGGTTGATGGGAAGGCGAGCCCAAAGTAGCCTGGGGCTTACAGCTTCCCACACCTCACCGCCACGCTCCCACGCCCCCTTCATTCTTTTGTTCAAAAGAAGACCCACACCCTGTTGTTTGGCAGTCTGCTGCCCCGAGTAGAGGACTGTCCACCCCTCATGGTGGCAGGAGCCAGAGCCGGTCCACCGGACCTCCTGAATGCCGCATAGATCCAGGCGGTACCGGTCCAGCTCCCGACAGAGGAGTGGCAGCCTCTCCTCTGCAGTGAGCGTTCGAACATTCCACGTGGCCACCCGTAGTGGCTTTTCGTTGTTTCTGGAGTAGCCCCGAGGGTAGGTATTCAATCTCCTGGCTCCGCCAATTGGGGTTTGGCCAGGAGACGTCATAGACGCCTGGCCCCCCGGGGCCTCCGGCACAAGCTTAGTTGTTACATATTTCAATTTAATTCGTGGTTTTGTGGTAATTAATTGAAGGTGGAGGGGTTACCAGCCCCTCGCACCCGTCCAGAGCCCCCGTTTAGCCCCTGTGGTGGACACATATGCCATGAGGGGAGGAGCCAATCAAAATTGGAACTCCCCCCACAGCGCTGTCCACGACAGAGTTGCCCGTCCGGCACCGCGAGGAGGTAGGGGGTTGTTTTGCCGGACTGGTAGCAGAGATACACAGATACACACACACACACAGATACACACACAGATACACACACACAGATACACACACAGACACACACACAGATACACACACAGATACACACACAGACACACACACACAGATACACACACAGACAGCGCGCTAACCACTACACTACAATGCGTTACGCTTCCACATGCGCGGGTCACGTGACAGATTTGACGTCACAGCTCACTTGCCGTGAAAAATCTATGCATTATTGAGCACCCCCCCCCCCCCCAAAAAAGTGTCTTTTTTATATGTTTTTTTTGTATGGTGTACAGTCTGGCAAGTACCCACATGGCAAATGTCCAGTTTGTTGCATGTCGGGAAGTAGTCTAAACATTTTGAACAGACAACACACATATTCACAACTTTGCCTTTTATATATTGTAATGTAATATAGCAGCCCACACGTCTTTAGGACTTGACCGTCCGTCCGTCCCTCACTCCCCCACGCCAGTCAAACAACCAGCCAGGAAAAAAAAGTTTATTTTAATAAAATATCTGAAATGAAATTATGATTCGTGCGCATTTGCGAGCAGCCAGTGACACACAGCTGCTGCAAATGGATTCAAGGTGAGGACTGATTGTTGTTTGGACTCCATCCTCTTGCAGTTATAGTCTTCAGAGTTGAGCCAGGTTCGTGCGTGAATGGGGGACTCCTTTGGAATCAGAATCTTTATTCATCCTGGAGAAATCCGATGAGCTATGAAGCTCTTTTTCACAAATGCCCAGTCTGGGCGGGTGAGTCAGTTACAACAGGAAACAATACAAAATACGACAGGTGTGCAAAATATACGAATGGTAAGAAAATCACTCAAAAGAAATACGTCAAATTGCATCAGTACACCAATTCACAAGCTTGGGCAAGACAGTAAAATAACAGCAAAACAGTCCCAGACCACACCAACACAACGCACAGTCCTTCAATATAATTGCACATTAAAAGTGAACTATCGATACATGGGTAAAGATGAACGTCACACATCTCATTTGCAGCACTAATGTTCTGCTTCAGGATATTTT